ATGGCACTGAGGCGGGGGGGACACAGACATGGCACTGGGAGGGGGGAGGCATTGCACTGGGAGGGTCCCCACTCCACGGGGTCGACCACTATCTTGGCCTCCCAGCTGGGACCCTGCAACTCTCACCTCCTCCATTCCTCCTTCTGCTTCCCCCTGGGGCTGGTGGGATCCCACTGCCATGGGTGGTAGCAGCACCCCCAGTCCCCCCCCATCCGTCCCACCCCACCCGGGGCTGGATCCTGCTGGGGGGGGGGGCAGGGACAGACACATGGACAGGTGGCTTCATGCAAGGACAGGTGGACACATGGGTGAACCAGAGGAGCAGAACCCAGATACGGGGGTGGCTCTGGGGGCAGAGACACCATCACATCCCTCCCAGGAAGTCAAGAGTGGGGGCAGCAGCTTAAATCTCCTTTTTTTTTTTTCCCAGAAAACCATTTTTGGCCCAATTTAGCTGCAGCTGCTGCTTCCCCAGCTTGCTGGAACAAACACCCCCCCCCCGCCCCCCGGGGCAGGGAGGAAGGAAACCAGGCGAAAACAGGCAGCGGGCTGAAAATACCCGCGGGGGGGGAAGGCTGAGGGGGGGGTCAGGCCGCAGCCCCGTGGTGCTGGGCTGGCGTGGACGCTCCCAAGCCGCTCCAGCACAAAGTCCGCGCTGCTGTGACTGCTGATCGGGGGGGCAGGGGGTGTTTTATGGCACTCATTTGTTTAATTGAGGCTGTAAAGTGGGGTGTGGAGGGGTGGATGTGGTGTGCAGGGGTGGGATGATGGGGTGGGGGTCCTGTCCCCTCCCAGGCCTTTTTCTGGGGGGGGGGGATGTTATTGTAGGGTCTCCGGGGCGGCTGCTCCCAAGGTAGGGTGGGCAAGTGACAAATTGGGACCTGGGCTGGGGTGAGACGGGGTGGGGCTTCACCCCACTGCTGCTGAGGGATGAGTGTTTGCAGAGTCAGGCCCCGGGCTGCCCGCCAGGTCCCCCACTGGCTGGCCGTAGCCCCCAACGGCTGGCTGTAGCCCCCCCCAAGCTCAGCTCTTTCTGCCCATACTTGGCCTGGAGTGGGGCTGACCCTTCGCCCGCTTGGACGGCAGCCCGGGCACGCCGGGGACGGTGCCAGCTGGGCACGGGGATGGTGGTTGGGCCCCCGCGCCTTGGCGCGTGCCCCTGGGAAGGGAAACTGAGGCATGGAGGGGGAACTGGAGCAATGGGTGCCTGGAGGGTTCCCCCCTGTGGATGTGGGTGTGGGGGAGGTCCTGGCACCCATGGGAGTATCTGGGGTGGCCTGCGCCAAGGGGGGGGATCGAGGATCACCGGGCCAAGCCGTGGTGTTTGCGTAGTCATGGGGGACGTTGCCGGCGCTGGGTTGGGGACATGGTGACTTTCCCAGGACAGAGCTGGGATAAGGGTGGCGGCGGGGGGAAATGTAGTGGTTGGAGTAAATGGATGAGAGTGGGGATAAACCCGCCACGGCATCGCGTCCCTTCACCGGTGTCACCGGTGGCAGGGCTCATATGGGGACGCTGCTCACCCTGTGGGGAGTCGGGGTTGGGCTCGCTGGGTCCAAAGGTGCGGGCTGGGGCATGCGGCTGGACAAACTGCGCTGGCCTGCCATGGCCAGGGCCGCTGGCTTCCTGGTGATAAGGCCTCTCTACGTGCCGAGCCGGTGCCGTGCCATGCCGGCAGCGGGGAGATAAGGCCAGGCGGGGGGGGGTAAAGGGCTCCCGGTGAGGTTGGACGAGGCATCGGTGGCTCTGGCAGGACGGGGAAACTGAAGCACAGTGGATTTGCACATGGGTGCAGCCAGAGAGGACTGGGAGCCCCATCGCTGCTTGGGGGCTCCAGGGGCGAGCGGCTGGGTGACAGTGCCAGCTGCCAAGTCGGCGAGGGGTGAGGGAGCAGAGCTCTTGGCCAAGGTCGGGGCTGTTTTCCTCTCTAGGGTCCTGTTCCTCGATACAGCTGGCGGACGCAGGTAGCATCAACCCCCTGGCCCTTTGCCATTAACTTTCACCTACATCCCCCCAAAATAGGGCTGGAAGAGGGTGGGATATTGCCGCAACAGCTCTGGTGGCAATGGGAAGCCAAGGAAGGTGCCGAGGTCCTACTTGGCGTGCTTCAGTTTCCCCTCTCGGGTGCTGATCCTGCTCCCCAAGTGCTGCATTTCCTCCCCTGCCGGATTTTGTTTTCTCACTCTGGAGCAATCGGGAGCCCTGGAGAGCCAGCGCCTACCCCGGCACAGTGCCGGGATGTGGGTTGGCAGTGAGGTCTGCTCCCACCTTGGCTGGTCCTGGTGATGCCACAGAAACAGACTTGGGAAGCTCTGCCTAGCCCAGATTGCAGGTGTTTTGCTGGCTGTGTCTGAAAACATGGGGGAAAAAAACCCCTCCTCTGAGTGGTAATTGCCACATCCCAGGAGCACGGCTTAAATTTTGGTGACCAGCATCCAAAAAACACCCACTCTGGTGTCTGCGCTGCAGCTGGAGGGAGGTGGCAGGGCAATTAGCAGCTGCTAGATTAATGAGAGCCAGCATCCAAAGGATGCAGCTGCCAGAGCACCCAGCTTTGTGATGGGAAGGGGTCCAGTGGATGTGTACCATCATCATTTGTGTCCCCCCCACCCCAGCACCAGCTCCTTGGGGACAAGCAGACCCATCCCCTCCCCAGGGTAGTACCACCCCCAAAGTGACCTCACAGCTGTGGGGACCTCATCCCACCTTCCCCACCAGCCACCATCCAAGAGGCTAAGCCACCATCTCAGGTCTCTCTTTATTAAGACGACACCCCCCAGGGGCATGTCAAGAATCAACGGTACAAAACAAACTTTTCCCTTTTTCCCCTCCTTCTCCCCCAAATCCCAATACAAAACAGTACAAAAGGAGTTTGTCAGCATCTTTAACAGAAGCAGCCAGCAGGATTGAAGATTCTCTCTTTCCAAGTGAACCCAAGGCACCAGGAAGAGCCAGCCCCCATCTAGAATGGGGTTCGGTTCTGCTGGGATCGGGCCCCATTCCCCCCAGCCATCACCCAAGGCTGGGGTTTGTTGAAGCTTTTGGTCAGAGACAGCTTGGGTATTGAGAGCCGAGAAGGAACAGGGGAAGGAATTCCGCTGGGACAGGAGGAACCCTCACTCCTGTGTCCCACGGGATCCCGTCGGCTTCTGCAGTCCTGCTGGGGCCAGCGGGACCAGGAAGCAGCGACCAGGGGTTACTGACAGAAATCTGTGCAGTCAAGCCGTTCCTCCCATCCCATGGGAACACCAGCTTCTGCAGGCTGGGAAAGTACAGACCCAAAATCAACGTTACAGAATCACAGAACACAAACCCGACTCCAACATGGAGCGGGGTGTCTCAGACTAGGAGCTGGACTACGACATGCAGCAGCGCTCCTCGCACTAGGTCAGCTTCTCCCAGCTGGACCAGCGCTTTCCCAAAGAGGCTGGACAGAGCTGCTGCGCACGGCTGAATGCGGAGTGAGGGAGCACTCGAGCAGCGGCAGGGTAGCTCAGAGATTGAAGGCATTTAGAGCTCACTAGCAACAACCCCACCCACCATCAGAGAAATGAGTTTCATTACAGTCTTTGCACGCACGGGTGCCTTCTTGGACACAAAACCAACACATATGAACAGGTCGCATCCGTCCCCAGGGACGGCATAGGGGATTGAAGGCATCATGATGGCAATTTTGGACACGAATGTCTTTAAGTCTTTTTAGGCTGGAATCTGCCTCTCCTAAGGGTTTGTGAGGGAGGTGTGTGAGGCCTTTGCACCTCCCCTGCTCCACCTCAAGATTCTCCTGCCCATTTTCACATAAGCACCTTGGTAGTTTGGGTTTGGTTTTTTTGGAAGACTTTGGCTGTAAGCAAGGTCCCAAAGCACCCCTGAGCCACACCGGGGTTTCTCGGTACAGCTGGCACACGAGGGGACACAAAGACTCATACACTTCATCACCTCGGCCACACTCGCCGAGCAGAGCCTCGCCGGGAGCCGCGTCTGCCGTGCGAGCGGCCGCTCCTCCTGCAGTGGGGCTCTTCAAGCCGAGGTCCGTGCTGCTGCAAGGTGTCCACAGCGGATTGCGAGTCCAGAAAAAGCAGGAGAGTTAACAACCTTTGACTCGGCACTCACTGCACATTGTTGTTCGCGATGCAGGGGTCCACCTGAGGAGGAGGGAAGCAATTTTAATCCCGAGCCAAAAACCCCACCCCAATGTTTCTGCAGAGCCATCTCATCTATCCTGCCACCCCCACCCAGGGTTCAGGCCCCCAGGAGAGATCCTCCCCACCATGCCAGCACGGCATCTCACCTCTGTGTAGGTGGGCGGTGGCATGAACTTGAACTCCGGAGCGTACATGAAAATGGGGCTGTCAAAGCTGTCGGGATCATCCAGGAGCGGAGTGGTGGGGCTCTCCAGGCGGTGGTCTTCAGGAACGATATCCAGGTAGCACGGGGGTGCTGCAAGGGATGGAAGAACAGGTGAGTATTCTGAGATCGCCTGTGTTCTCCCCCTACATCCCACCGCACCACAACGCCCTTTTAGCCCCTCCTAAACTTGAGGGGGGGGGGCGGGGCTGTCACAGTGGTGCCCACCAAGGACCCCCTCGCAGTCAACTGCATTCTCCTCACCTTCTGGAGCATCAGGGAGGTTCAAATCCACCCAGCTCATTTCGGAGCTGGCCTGACTAGCCATGCTGGAGCTGCGGCTACCAAAGCCCGAGCGGCTGCCAATGACGAGGGGCAGCTCCAAGATGATCTTCTTGGAGCCTGGGACGCTGACGTAGATCTGCGAGGGCAAGAACCAGAGTTTTAAGGGATGTTGGGAACCAAGAGGGGACGAAGTTTATCCCGCTAGTGAAGCAAGGAAGAGTAACAGCAATCCAAACCACTCACCTGCAAGAAATACTCCACACGCAGGATGTTGCAGCCCAAGATAGATGGTTTGAGCTTCTTGACACGGATGGTCTTGCCCCGCCAGGACTCGGACATGCCCGAGATGATGTGGTTGCCTCGGACACAGGAGAGTTTTTGGGTGAAGACCTTGGTCTGCCCATTGGCCAGGTAGGTGTGCTTGGCGATGATGGCTGCTTTGGGCACCACAATGCGGGAGCAAGTGTTCTCGAAGTCGGCGTTGATGCAGATCTCATCACCTGAGGAGGGAATGGTGTTTGGCATTTAGGAAGGTTGGAGCCTTTTCCTTGTGGAATGCCTCTTTTAGCTGTTTAACATCCCCGATGCTCCCCCGCTGCTCAGGTACAGCTCGGCCCACCACCCCCCGCCCCCTTTCTCCCCTCATCTATGAGGGGAGGACAGGCTCTTACCTTCACAAAATCCTTTCCTGTCGATTTGAGCGCTGACTGACACACGTCCATCAGGAATGAACATACAAGACACCTTCTTCTCCTTCTTGGCAGCAACCGGAGACTGCAGAGAAACATGATTATTACCTAGGTGAGACCTGCCCACTGTTCCCATCCCACTCTCCCTTCCTTCCTCTTATTTTTCCAACAACAGCTTCAAGTTCCCCATGAGGTTCGAGTGTCTTGCAGCTAAGTGAAAGCAGAACAAGCGCCTCACTTTATCTGCCTTGGTGTAGATTTCTAGAAGTAACTAGGACTTGCTAAGAACTAAATATTTAATCCACGCTCAGCAATAAAACCTATTAGGAGAGTCTTAATGACACAGGTCGGACTGACCCTATCCAAGGGCTTTTCTCCCTCCTAGCTACCTGCTGACACCCACGCCTCTTGGAGTAAAGCAGCACTTACCAGCAATTCTGGGGTGTTCACGTCGACAGGATCCATAACCTCGAAGCACTTCTTTATCTCCTGAGTGGGAAAGGACGGGCGCTCCAGGAAGGCCTTCACCCAATAATCCACGCAGCCATACTTTCCCTTGAAGGTGGTACCCAGAGGCCTGTGGAAAGAGACGGTTGTTAGACACATCTGAGGCAAGAGGAGAACTTCCCGTAGCGATCCATCTTCATTTTTCTTTTCAGAGGCACCGTTTGTCTTGTACTTACCCCTGGGGAAGCTCGAATCCGAATTTGTACTCGTATTTGTTCCCGGGTCTCAGGATTACAGAGCCGTCCCCATCTGGGAAAGGAAAAGGGGAAGGGAAACATTAGCTGAAGCTCCATGGGTTTGTTCTTAAACATTATCCTCTGTTCTGCTTACACAGCTGGTGATGAAGCCAAGCGCTGCATGGGCTTGAGCCGCATTAGCTGTTTGGTAAGAGCCACCTACACCTGTCCCCCAAGAACAGCCCAAGAACCCCGCGTCTTCTCGAAGCAGGGAAGCGCTGCTCATTTAATCTCACTTCTTCTTTCAACATCCTCCTGCAAAGCCAGAACACTGTGTCCCTGATGCACTTCAGTTCCTGTTACCTCTCCTCACCACACCCTGCTTCCACTCTGTGGGAGTATCCAGTACCCACTTCTCTCCCCACCTCTCTATCTCCAAGACTTCATGTCACCCCGGTTATCACCCTGGACACTTTGCCAAGTCCCTCTCTCTTGCCTTTCCTGGAGCCAGCCAAACAAGGCGGCTGCTGAAGGGAGTTCTCCATGCCCAGGAGAAAAGATCAGGTGAGATCCCTTGGTCTCAGGTGAGATCTGCACTTTCCATCCCCCGACCACCACCCGTCCCAGGCACAGCACCAGCACCTCCTGCTGCCCTGACACCCAGTCAAGGCCAATGCCAGTACTCGCTCCCTGCGGGCATACACCGTCGCTGCCTGTTCTGTGAGCCACACCAACACCCAACGGCTTCTGTACGCTCCATCAGGCAGCTCGTCCCTCGCCTTTCAAACTTTGAACTTGACTTTAGCCAAGCCCTGCTGTCCTCTGCTTGTTCACAGGCTTCAATCGATTCGCTCATTCCCCCCAAGACTCAGCCAACATCCAATCCCACTTCCGTCTCTGTGACGATCCCCGACACCAGCGGAACACCACGACTCCTCGCTGCAGAACTAGCCTGCTCGACGTACCCCAAAGGGACACAACCAGGAGACTTGCTCCAGCCTTGTCAGAGAGCAACCAGCAAGAAAAGCTGCCAGTCAATGGCCAGCTTTCTAGCCCTTTTCTCCCCACCACCTTTTGCCCCCCAACTCCCTTCTCCCAGCCCCAAATCCTCACCAGTGGGCTGCTCCTCCAGCGTGAGGACATCCTCAAAGCGCAGGTACTCCATCTCCTGCTTGCACTGCTGGGGGCCCTTGGCCCAGTTGACTTTGGCCACCCCGCAGGCCAGCACCCTGACGGCACTGACGCGAGTGACCTCGGCCACCTCCACCAAGATGCGCCCAGCCACTTTCTCCCCGCTGCAGTAGACCTTCTCGGGCTCGCTGAAGGCCATCACGAAGGCCTTCACCTTCTTGAACATCACCATGGCTGAGGTGAGTGTGGGGGAAAGGTCTTGAGAAAGCAGCGAGGGCAAGAACCGCGGGGTTTTTTCCCCCTCTGAAGAGGAAAAAACAACCCTGAAATAAGCCGATTTTAGTCAAAAAGCGCAGTCTAAGCCCTCGCCTCCTAGCGCTTGGAAGGAAGGGGGAAATAAGCGGGGCCGCTCCGCAACACGGACGCACCGCACCGCCGCTGCCCTCAACGCTTTGAGAGCGGCCCCCGCCGGCCGCCGCCTTTTATAGACTCCGCCTCCCCGCCCTCCCCCCGCCCGCGCCTGTTGATGCCAGGAGCGCCACGCCGAGGGCGCGTGGCCAGGCGTGCTGCTCGCGTGATCAGCGCCCCCATTGGCCGCCGCCACCTTGTTTACAGCCCCGCCGTCCAATCAGAACACCGGGTGCGGAGCGTGGACAGCGTGTGAAGGAGAGGCGAGCGTGTTCAAGGGAGAGGAGGGGGGGAGGGGGGGAACGGAGTGACGGCCCGGCAGGCCAATGGGGAGAGAGGACGAGCGGCGGCGGTGGCCAACGGCGAGCGGAGAACAGGATGTAATGTTCTCAGGCATGAAGGAGGGGGAGAGTCCCCCTCAGGGTGGGTGCCGTGCCTTGTGTGGGACCTCCTGGGCTGGGCTGGGCCCTGCTGTACTGGGTGAACTGGGAGCGGCTTGATAGGCTTTCTGGTGCTCCCCTCACCCTTCTGGAGGCTTTCTTCCCCCTTCCTCAGTCCCCTCCGCCCAGGGCAGCCTGGGGGCATTTCCACAGCCCCCCCTGACCTCCCCTCAGCTGGTACCTGAAGTGTTTCCTCAGCCCCCTTCTATGGTACACCCCACCCCCCCCCACCCCCCATTATTTGAGGTAAATAAGGATGGGTTTGGGTTAGGGGATTGAAGCCTGACCTTGGGGGCTTCTCTCCACCCTTCTGGGGTGTCATGGGGGGGTATTTCCCCCAGCTTTGCCTGCTTTCCACAGCTGCCTGACGGGACACCGGCACCCCCTCCCTGCCTGCCATGTTTCGGGGAGCCTTCCCATGCATCCTTCCCAGAAACAGCCCTCTCAACATGCCATCATATCGCTAAAAGGGAAGCATGACCCCCCCCTCCTGCACCCCGGTGCTTCGGGATCCTTCGAGACAGTGTCTTGAAGCCAGGGGGGAGGGAGGGAGGGCACGGGGGACGACAACACAGAACGTAGCTGATGAGAAAATCTGAGGCAAATGTCTATTTTTAAGATCGCAACATCTAGATGTTTCTTGCTGTTCACCATAGAAAATGGGGGATTTTTTTCATCAACAAGTCTACCTCGATCTAAGGGAAGGCAAACAACCACATCCTTCCTACAAACTGTGCCCAGGCAGGCCCTCTGTCCCTGTTTTCCAGCTGGGATTTGGGGAACAGGGAGAGTTGTGTTGTCCCCCAGAGGAGGCTTTCGGCTCAGAGAAACCCTCGAATTTTCCTTCCTAGATAATTTTTGCTGAGCAGACATTCTTCCCTGACAGGCAGGGGCTTATTTTGCCCTTGGTTTTAAAAGCCGTTAATGGTTTTACAGCTCAGGAAAACACAGGGAGTGCAGGAAACAGGAGAACAATATTTTTGGAGCCACCCAACAAAGCAGGAATGGAAAACGGGGGCTTCCAAGACCTCCCCACCCCAAACAAGGAAAAGAGATATGGTTTTGTTAGCAGTTGTCTCCGTTGTCCTTTGGAGCTTGTTTGTCCATACGTTTCTGGCACGCACTGTGCTTTTCTTTCTCTGCCATCCTCTCCTTCCCCCAGAGTTAATTCACACCTGTTAGTATAAACCGATAAACCGGCCAGATAAACTGTAGGGCATAAACTGTTCGCCTGCCAAACTGCAGGACGAATTTCCTTACTGTGAGAGAATTATTTCACAATTAAGTACGTAATGGAGGAACTGCACCTTTTTCCTGCCGCTTCTGGTCCCAGCAAGCTCACCCCATTGTCTCCCACTGCACGCTAGGAAAAAAGGTGCCGGATTAGTGAAGAATTGCGGATTTGTTCTAATTTGGCAAAATGAGGAGAGCTCTCTTTCCAGCCTTGCCAGCTATGGGATATTTGATCCCAAAGACCCTGTCTTGGATCTGTGCCCAGCATTCCCTTAGGCGCTGTGTTTACACTCTCCCTCTCCAGTTTCCTTTGGTGCCCATCTTTCCAAGGAAGACGTATCCAGCCTGGCTCTCGCAGCCCATGGCTTCTTGCTCTCGGACAGTAAAATACATTCCAACAATGTCAAAGCACAAATGAGTTCTAAGCCAAAGAGTTTGCCAGAGATACCATCCAAGGTACGTTCCACAGCCTGAATCGTCTCCAAATTTCTCTTTATCTGTCAATCAGCTTTTGCCCTTTGCTCCCCTGACCCCTATCTGCCTGGAAATGCCTCCCCTGTCCTTCTGCAGAAGAGGGAGCTGCTGTAATTTCCTCAGGGCTGAGACATGGTTCACAAGGTTTCCCACGCAAGCAGCACCCTCGATTAAGCAAGGGCTTCAGAAATGCTTAGGAATTTTAGCTTGTAAAAATGAAAGCTTCAAAATGTCACGTCTCCTTCAGAAAACAAGGGCACCAGAAGAGAAGCTGGTTGGATTTCTGGGCAGAGACAAGCTCTTGAGGGCTTCCTTGCTCCCACTAAGCAATTATTTTAAGGCATTCACCCCCCCTTTCTGCTTATTTCCCACAGGGATTGTGGTGCTTGGAGGACCCCCCACCCTTAACTGAGAGCAAAGCTGCTGCTGAGGTTGGATGGGGAGAGTGGCCAGAGCCTTGTCCTCTCCCGGTGTGCCTGGCCAGGGGCGAGGGATGGCAAGGAGAGCAAGGAGAGCTGCATGACTAATGTTATATGCCGGGCATATCCCGGTTCAAAAAGCAGCAGGGTTGGGCTGAGTGAGAAACCAGGCCCTGAGGTGACTCACTGAAAGCCGGGGCTGCTGCGTGGGTCATGGAGAAGGAATTGGGTAAGGCAGAAACTGGGCAGTACAACAGCTTTCAGTGCCGCGCTCTGTGCTGGCCACATTGTGCCTTGCTGGAAGCCACCCTTATTCCCACCATCCATCTGAATCCCACTTGTAATAAAAGCCCGATGCTGATAAAAGCCTTTTTTTTTTCTGGTCTAGATTATTGGGAGCTGCTACCCATCGTTGCCTGGAGAAGCCACACTCCTCTCATGGCAGGCTGTCCTTTGTCCCCTCCATCAGACAACCGGCTGAATTGCTTGGAGAGCTGGTGGGTGCCTGCTGGAGGCTGCAGCCCTGGAGCTTCTCGGTGCTGTTTTCTCTGTTTTTTTCACCATATATGGCTGCTTCCAGCAAATTCGAGGTGGGGAAGGGGGGGAAGAGAGGGACGCCAAAGGATTCACAGTGGCCTGAGCAAAGGGACAGAGTGTGCCTGCTGTGCGGTCGAGAGCGGGAGCCAGGGCGGAAAAGGCATTTCCTTTGGTGAGATTGTTTATGTACAGGGAACATAATAAATAAATCCCACGCTGATTGCATCGGGGGTGTGTCGCTGCAGCTGGAAAACGAGGGACCGTGGGACTTGAGTGGCTCCTGGAAAGCCACTGCTCGTCCCACGCTCAGCTTCTCACTGCTCACATTTGTCTGTGGCCAAGGCAGGCATTCAACAGCAAAAGGGCCGCCTGAGATTTCTAGGTTTGAAAGCAGACAGTGAAGCAAGGGTAGCATCTCTGTTTCAGTTTCTAAATAAAACCAGCAGTTTTGGTGAGGATGTTAAGGTTTGTGGGGCCTGGCTTGAGGCGGGGCGGGGGTGGCACAGCACTGCTGGTTTGCTGGAATAGAGGTGAACAGGGCTGGTGTTTGTTTGACAGCTCTTGAGGGATCTACCAGAAACGGGTTGGAAAACTCTTAGGGCAGATCCCCATTAGGGGTTTCCAAAATCAGCATTTTTTTTGCTGCTTTCGTCCATAGCAGTGGCTTGTGTTGCCACTGGCTGTGCTTCCTAGCGCTGTGCAGACTGCGTACCATTTTGAAATGCTTTGTGGCACACATATCGCGGAGCAGGATCCCTTTTCCCCCTTACCCATCCCTGCTGAATGGGGAGAAGTCCTCTCAGGGCTCAGGTGTGAGGACTTTTCCCCCAGAGCCCCAGGTTTCCAGCTCCTGCCACGGAGTGCGATGCAAAAGCTCTCCCTGACAGATGGTTCTTTGCTGTGGTGGGATTTCTTAATTTCTTTTCTGGCCAGATTGTGTTTTTGCAACAGAGGAAGGGGAAAGCCAGAGCTAAGTGTCACCACCCTGTGACAAGAGACCGAGCTCAGTCATCCATAAACAAGGAGGAATTTGAATTCAGAGTTTGGGAAGTCCCGTGTCTATCATCTGGCCTGGGCAGGAAGACTCAGTTGCATCAGCTCTTTCCTCCGACTGGGAGAGCGTGACCTCTCCCGGGCTCGCAGCGCACAGCAGGGCTGGTTAAACCCGCTGCTCTCCGCTCCGTTGGCCAAGCCTTCCTCTTCTAAAAGAACAAATCCAGCTCATCTTTTTGCCAGACCAGTGTGCTAGGTCCTTTTTGCCTTTGGTGTCAGTTGGGTTTTAAATATGTTGTTACGAAGGGAGGAAAAAGTATCCTGATTTCCTGAGCTTCCATTTCTCGTTTGTCTGTTTGTCCTTTGAAAGGCCTCAGCAGGTTCTGCAGATGCTGGAGAGAGCAAAGAAATAAGGAACTTTTCTTACTTTTCAGCAGCCAAAGCTACTCTGAGGCTGCCAGCCTGTGTGTGCATGCTTGGGAGGAAGGGAATCCTCACTGGACATGCTCACCCCAAACATCAAGCTCCCTAATTTAGAGAACCAGGTTGGGTGGCTATAATTGGGGGACGGGGGGTGGCAATCCCCTCCTAGACCTCTTTCACCAATCTCACAGCAGCAAGGCCAAACGATGGAACCTTTTGGGGAGCATTTCGTGGTGTTTGGGGTGAGAATGGACATCCCCTGGGCTGTGGAGCTGCTGACTCCTCCGAAGTCCTTCTCATACTTTGGGTTGTGTGGACATCTAGAGGCCTTGCCAGGAATGGCACAGGAGTGATTTTCTTCCCTCCACCCGTGCGGGCCGGTTATTTGGATCACAGACACGACAGACTAAGGAAATTGGTGTTTTTCACCTGCCCAGTCCTAGGTACAAAGTTTAAGAGGAGGAGAGTGAAGCTGCTTTTAGATTTGGCTGCTATGAGCCAATTCCTCGTGTTTTGAGCATGCTGCTTGTGTATTTGTAAAAGTGAGAACGAGCGTTAATCTTTACTTTGTGTGTTTACAAGAAGGAGGAGGAATGGCTGTAAGAGGCTGAACACTGTGGCGTTTGCCACTTCATGAGGGCAAGGGGAGGTTGGACCTCCAGACATCTGGCTTCTGTGCATCTGCTGCCCAAAGTGGCAGCTTATATCTTTTTTATTTTTTTTCTGTGATTTGAGATTATTTTTCATGCCAAATGGGGAGGAACATGAGGAAGCATTCCACACCGAGATGTGCCCATTTCAGCCGCTGTCCCCGTTCCTGTTCTCTGCTGGTGACACTGCTCAAGGTGTTGGCCATTAGGAACATGAGGAAGCCGAATCTAACCCTGAACATTGTGGAGGAAGTTCTCGCCTTGGCCTTAACTTCTTGCTAACAAAACATGCTGGAGTTTAGCAGGAAACACACACGTTTGGGTGGCTTTTAAACCAGCACTGCTGTTTTGAAGATGTGCTTCTGATCTGGAGAGCTCTGGTTTGCAGGTTGGAGGCTTGGCAGCTCCAACTTACACAGCTATGTGCTCTCACTGCTACACTGGGAGGTGGCAAACCTGGCCACCTCTGATGATCAGGCCGGTTTATGATATGTAGAAGCAGCTGCTAATGAAGATTCAGGTTTGGCTACTACACCTCATGCCCCAAGGCCTTGGCATTTCTCTAACTACTAGAAATCAGAGTGAGGCGGGATGTAAGAGAAGCAGATTGTCCCAGACTTCTCACACCTTCCTGCGAGATCCAGTGCTGGCTGCTGTTGACAACCGCCTACCAGGGTAGGCAAACCCCAGGTCTGATCCAGACTGGGAATTCCCTTGCTCCAGTTGCCCAGGTTGGGCATCTGGATGCAGAATGGCCCAAGCTGGGCTTGCTTTTGAAAATGCTGGGCAGTGTTGCCAGAGTCTTTTTTAGCAGGCGACATATGCTAGGGAATTTAAGGGCTCGATCCAAAGTCTACTGACGTCAATGGAATTACTCTTGTCGACATCAGTGGGGCTTGGATCCACGCCTACGTTCCACTTCTTCATTTCAGACTGCAATCTGTCAGGGGTGGAAAGGTCTCTTTTCTACTTACAGACTTTAGCACGTCTTTGAAAGGTCTCGCTTCCTCGGCAATCATTACGTTGAGGATGCAGACTACAGAACAATTTGGAGAACAGGCGCAAACCCATTCAACGCTGTGCATGTTCCTTCTGCGTTGCTGGACCCTAGCCAGGCTGCAGCTCAGGTTTAAGCATCTGCATTGCGTGTAAGGGAGGTGGAGGCCTTGGCTGTGATGTGCTGTGACTCCCCAATACCTGCTCCAACGAGAATTAGAGCTTCAGACCTCCATGAGCTGCTCAGGATGGTCCAGCTCACCTTTTCCGGAGAGCACTGGCCAAAGTCCTCTCTTCAAGGAGCATCTGGATGATGCTTTTAGCCATATGGTTTAGTTTTAGTTGTGGGGAGTTGGACTCAATGGTCCTTATGGGTCCCTTCCAACTTGAGATATTCTATGGTTCTCATGGGCTTTGGGGTTTGTCAGGTGAATGATGAGTGTGGGGTCTTGAATCCACCTTTCACAGGACCCAGGAAACTCTGCTTTTCTTTTCAATGGGAGCAAAGCCCTTGGAGCCCAATTCATTGCCTCCTTCCCAGGTGGGACGTTCGTGAGCAGGTTGGGAAGAGTGAGTCTGAATAACAGCTTTCCTGCAAAGCTCTGGGTTAGCACTCGACATGCTCCTCGGTCAGGACAGAGCTAGCACGATGCTACAAGAGACGTGGTGGGCCAGGCTCTGCTGTGCCACTTCCCTGCCATACCCATGTGCCCAGGACTCGCGCAGGATCACCTCTCCAACCACCTTCATGTTGCTGGTGGATCCTGGGGACTCTTCTGTCCTCCTTTTATGACTGTGGAGATACCAAGAGGCTGGGTCTGGGTGGTGAGTGTGGCCCCGCTCACCTGCAGTGGTCATCAGCCAGCGAGATCCTCATCTCTCCCTTAGGAAAGCCCCCTTTTCCCCATGCCATTCTTGTTGATTGACTCCATTGGCCAAAATCTAACAGGTAATTATATTCTGCATCATAACATCTGACTGTGATGCTGTTTCTGGCAGTTGCATAGCATCGCTGCGTGCTGTTGAAGAGCTGCTGTTTCACACCCTGGGAGTGGCTACCTTTTGTTACTAGATCAAGTCACTCCTGTTTCTCTAAGTAGCTCCAGCATCTATCAACCCTGCAGCCTCTTCAGAGCTCCTGAGGATTTTACCCCTATGGGGAACATTGCTATGAGGGGGACTTACAGTCTCCTACAAAGTGGTGGAGCAGAGCAGCAAGGCAGGCTGGCTTCCCCTCCTCATTCAGTGCATGTATATATAGACCACAAAGTGCTCCAGAGTAAAAGGAGCAGTGGGTGGAAGGCGAGATATTATTATCTTCACCTGCTGCTGCCGACCAAAGAAATAAAGAGACAGATGACAGGAAATGAGGACTTCAAAAATAGACACCTTTAATGTCAAAACGTTCGGGGATTAGCGAGAGCACCATACAAGAAACAGAGAAACTCTCATGCTAGTCACCATGTGCTTTGAGTGCATGTTGGAGGAGGAAATATGCTGAGATATCTAAGAAATGTTTCCGTAATTACTCTTTGTGCCCTTGGCAGAAGAGCAAGAGAAAAAAAAAAAAAGACCAAAGAAACTGCAGATACACTGAAACATGAATTGTAAAACCTTGCTTTACATCGTGACAGAGCCTCTGTATCTGGATGATCTGCAGTTCTCTTTCCGCGAGCTGCATGCCCAAATCCTGCCCATGTCTGCCAGCTCACTGCTCTGCCTCCACGAGGCTTTACAAGGCTCTTCTTATGGCTCCATGGGACAGGAATGGCAAAGTTTTTAATGTGAGCCCTCTTTATTAAAAAAAAAGTCTTTCAATATGCAAAATATTTCTTATCATATAGAACTCTAGGTGCTTTACTTAAAACCTCTTAAATATACTAAACATCTAATTTGGCCTTACCTCTGTATTTATGTACATCTGCTAGTAGTTCCCCTGCCCATTGCTACAGTCATATGGCTTTTTGCCAGCTCCGTGTCTTCATTATTAATTCTCTTTTGCAAGTGAAACCCACAGTCTGGGTTGGATTTGAATGGGGTTGTGACAGTGACAGAGAAAGTTGGGCCCAAGGGAGAGGAGTACCAAGGGGTATTTTTCCCCACTGAAACTCAACGCTGGTCCAAAGTCCAGAACTGGCTATATTGAGTCCTAGACAGGTGCCAAGACAACAAGGAAAAATAGCAACGATAGCCTGAAATGTCAGAGACCTGATGCTCCGCAGCTCCCGACACTGGAAATGAGCACATTACTAATCCAGAGAGAGGAGAATACAGTACAAAATGGTTGATTTCTAGGTCAAAAATCTCAAACCTTGGTCACAACACTCCGATAACCAACTTGTTGCCTTGCTTCGCTCTTGCATTGTTTTGGTAGCAGCTGGGTCAAGGGGCCCCAAATCCACCAAACAACATTTTTTTCACTGCTAAAAACTGGGATCCAGGCTTTGAGCCAGTTATTTCTGAATCTGTAAGGTTCCTGAGTAAAAGTCTGCTGCAGTAACACTGGAAGAAAGGTGTAAAGCAAGTTTATGGAAAGGCTTTGAAGGGCAGAGAGGTTTTGTAAATGTGTCTTCACCCTGGGTGTTTCTTTTTCTTTGATACAGCAGCAATGTCCTCATCTTTAGAAAAAAGAAATGCATCCAAATCCAACAGAAAAAATCGTGATCTGCCTTCAGGAGAGGAACCAGGTTCAATTGGTGCTGTACGTGCGAGAACAGTGGATGCAAGCCAGTGTCTCGCAGTCTTTCATCTGCAGCACTCCCCTCTCCAAAGGTCTGGGTCTCTGATTCCTTATTGCCACAGAGACACTTGATCCTAGGTAAGGCAACCCTCTTGATCTGCAAGGCATGGGACTTGAGTCAGCAGCTCTCTCGCGTTACCCCTGTGGACTGGCTCTATGCAATGCCAGCGAGAGTTAAAAGTGCAACAAAACAGCCCAAAGACCAGAGGTGAGGAGGAGGAGGAGGAAAGAAGAAGAGATGTCTGGGCAGCCTGCCCCAGCCTGGAAGATGTGCAGTTTCTCAGCATTGGGAAGGAAGACCCTGGCATCCTCCAGGGCCCCGTGAGCTGCCATGGTGAAGTTGGCATCCCCCGAGGTCACCACATCAAAGACACACGACTGGAAGTAGACATCCTCCACGGGCAACAATTCCTTGCAGAGTGCCCGGGCCATCTCAGTTGCCATGCGGCTGCGGCAGCACTCGCTGCGGGAGATGCGCTGACTGCGGGGGCAGCCTCCCACGCAGAGCTGCAGGTCTTGCTCCTCCGTGAAGGCGCGTGCCACCTCCTCGGCTGCCCGGATGGAGAAGGAGAGCTGACGGCCGGCCTGACGGACAGCGATGGTGGTGCCGATGTACTCCGCCTGGATTTCTACATGCTGCCCGGGACTGCGCTCCCGGATAACCAAGCTGCTCCCACCCGGCCTCTCACCCCCGTTCACCGAGCCATCCTCAAAGGCTGCTGGGAGGTTGTCTATCTCAGCCTGGTAGACCTTCTGGTCGATGCATTCCTTCATGTTCTTGAAGATGATGGTGAGCTGCAGAGGGAAGATCAAAGGGGGTTTGATCTCACTTGCCAGGTGTGAGAGTGGCAGCCATGTCCCCACCCCAAGTACCAGCTATCTAGGGGAGGGCAAAGCAGATTGCACACGTCTGCCTCACCGATGCATTCCCCCTCTGCCCCAAACCATCTCTCCCACATTGCTGCAGTCCTTTTGGGAAAGCAGCACCTTCCCTGCTTTCTTTAATACCATGTAAGCAACTGAAAACTGAGATGGAGCCAAGCCTGGCTGGGCTGCATGCAGGTAACCCGTGAACCACACAGTAACCCATCCCCAGGCAGCAATGGGAGCATTTGCAAGCCTCTCTGGTCCCCTCAGGGACCTTCATCCCACTTGTTCCTGCAGACGTTCATTCCTGATCCCATGTGGGTTTAGCTGAAGTTATTGCTGCCCTCCCCAGATATTTTAGGGAGTACCCTAAGCCGTTGCTGCATCCCAGAGGTGTATGGCTTTGCTGCCAAGCCCTATGCATGAGTGTTACCTTGCTAGTGACCGTAGCGTTGGACCCCTTTGCCACCGGAGAGCTGGTTGCTTGCACAAACAAGTAGTCATTGTCCAAGAGAGGCCAGGACCCCTCCACTCGGCAAGTGTGGAAGTCATCATGGAAAGTGCGGATATGGGGGTCACCGAAAGCTGCGCAGTGCTGGTAGCTGGGGGGCTGGCCATGCTTGTAGAGAAAACTCTTCTCGTAGTTGCAGATATCGAGAGACTCAAAGCCCTGATGGTTGGGGGCCGGGGGCCGGGGTCGGGGCGGTGATGTGGGACCCTCCTTGGAGCAGTTGTTTTGGATCATGAGGTCCTCGATGCCGTGGACGGCGGAGTGGTAGGCCAGGTCGCCCCGGCACGTGCGAGCCGTCTTGCGGGTGCAGTGGGAGTAGGAGCGGAGAGCGTTGCAGTACGCTGCGTTCCTGTTGGAGCCACGTAGGTTGAGGGTGGCAGCCACGTACTCAGAATTGCAGCGCAGGATCTTGCACTGGGAAGAAACTGGGAGAGACGGGATGGCTCAGGGCATCCCGGTAGAGCTGTAGGGGTGGGGAAGGGCAGCCCCTTCTCCTCCCACCACCTCCCATCATCTGGACCACTCCAGATCTCATGATGGAGACAGTTTCTGGAAGCATTTATCTCCCTGTTTTAACAAACTCAGTGGCCGGTTTAAATGACCTGCTTCTCATGTGCCTGAGGGGAATGAATCCAGGGTTGCCTGCTGCAGAAGCAGGCTGGAGCCCAGCGCAGAGGACAGTGTGTGGGAAGTCATGGGAACAAAGGGGTGTCCTGAAGCAACTGGGATGTGAGATCGTACCTGGGGCAGGAGCGTGGCCAAGAGCCAGGGCAGCAGTTGTGACTGTGGCCCTAGGATGTGGCTCAGACGGAGATTCTTCACCCCAGGGCTTGCCAGGGGACAAACAGGAATTTCTGAGCTGGGAAACCCCTTCTTCCCATTTCAACCTTGGCTGGGCCATGCAATCGCTCTTTCACAAGAGGCTTGACTGCCTGCACCCCTCAAACGTGATTTCTCCATGCTGCAGAAGGCAGTGTCATGTACCACAGCTCCAGGAGAGCTAAAGAACTCACTCTAGCAGGGATGATTTAGCTCATTAAGCAGAGGAGTTATAAGGGATAGCTGCCCTTGCAGTAGATGAACATAAACTGGGTTGGGCAAGGTGCTGGGAAGTGAATTTAGGTGTTGCAGGATGTGGGTCTCAGTCCCCCTAGCAGAGTGCTTGGGATGCAGGAAGGAAAGTGAGGGACCGAGTGATGGGTATGGCTGGTGCCTTTTACTAGAAGACCTTGGACTTTGGCTAGTCCCGGTACCCTGTTGTCCCTGTCTTATCTTGGGAGGTAATAGAGACTTTAAGGGCTTTCCCAGGGAAAGTGCCTGCTGCAGGAGAGCGGGGGGATGCTCTTGTTGCGGAGGCTACCCTGGTAGGGGCAGGTGATGTTGGTGAGAATGCTGCCTGCCCTTCCCTCTGGCTGTGGTGGGCCAAGGGCACTCTGATACTGCCTGAGCCTTACGGCTGCCATGAGAGGAGCTTCTGCTTGCTCCAGTTACGTCCCAGGAGCTTGTACCCTCCCTGCACCCTGGGGCTGCAGCTCCCACGGATATCCTTGCCAGGGATGTGTCTCTGGCATGGCTCTGCCCATGCAGTTCCTTACCATGCCTGCAGAACAGGAGGAGGAAGAGAGCTCGAAGGAAGAAGCTGGGGTTTTCTAGCTGCCCTGGGCTCTCACTGCAGGCAGGTTTCCCCATTCCAGTCCATGCAGAGCCTGGGAAGTTGCTCACCCGCTGGCTTGTCTCAGCTTCATTCAGCAGGTCCCCTAGAAGGAAAGCAGAGGTGGGATCTGAGAGGTGCCACTAAATGTGAGCTGCTGCAGGTATGGAGCTGCCAGCATCCAGGCAGCTGCCAAACATGGCCCTGCAGGGCTTGGCTGCACTACTGGCTGTCGGGGGGGAGGCAAGCTTTTGAGCAAAATCCCGGAGGGTTTGGGTTTTTCACTGCTTTCAACCACTGCAGCTCTCATCTTCCACCCTGAGGCAGCTGTGCTGTGTAGTTCAGTGTGTCAAAAAGTTAAAGCTTCCAGCTGCCCTTGGAGAGGATCAGTGAGCTCCAGGGGCTTGGAGAAACTGCACAGCAGGGATGTGAGCAGCCAATGAGTGCAGAGAAGACCCAAAGTGTCCTACATGTTGGGTGCAGTGTGGGCTGCCTCTGGCCTGCTGCTGCCCCCACCAAAATGAAGGTTTGGAGCACAGCATCCAAGGGGATAGGAGTTGAAAAGCCAAATTATAAGTGCGACTGTCATGACGTCCACAGCCAGCACCACTGGGTGATAACAGCACCTCCTGCTCCCTCAAAAAACCTGTGTCCAGGTTCCTCTCAAAGCTGGGAAACATGCTTTCAGCCACACTCCACCTTTCCCCCTTGCTGCACCAGCTCTGGCTGCTCCCTGGGTGCTGGGGGCTTGAGCTGGCTGGAGGGGGAGTGCAAGAAGCTGCACACATCCAGACAGTGGGCTGCAGCAGGAGGAAGTGTAGCCACGGAAAAGATTTAACTTCCGTTGTTCTTCATCAGTGCTGGGGATTTGAGTCCTTGGTGGCTTATTTTAACAGCCAGTTATTAGTCACTTGTTAGTCAAATAGCCTTTTGCAAAGGTCCTTTTGAAACTGCTGTATGTGAAATCAGTATTTATTTTTTTCTCCCCTTTAGCTTGTGTGAGGTGCTGGTTGCCAGAGGCTGACACTCATGGTGATGTGCCTGTGCCTGATACCCTGGGCAGCCCAAGGAGTCGATATTACTGACACTGTGATTGCTAGTAAGTGTAAACTGCGACTGTGGGGGAGAAGAGGTGGAATTCTCATCTTTTTCTCAGAAAAGGAGAAATCACAGCTCTACCAGCTCTGTCTAGCACCTTTCAGCTCCCTTTGCCATGGCTGCAGCTGTCGAACAACCGCCATTAGCTGTACTGGCTGGCATGGTGACATAGCTGAATGCTGGCGGCCCCCCGTTCCTCTGCCAGCTGGATTAATGGCTAACAGGGCAGATGTCTGGAGTGAAAACATGCTTCAGACCTGCTGGCAATGCTCTGACCACCAGCTGCTCTTGGCAGTGAGGACAAGCTGAGCTGACCATGCTGGAAGGGGGAGAGTGGTCTCTGCAGCCCTGGGGCATGGGGACACGAGACCCAGTACTGGGAATTGGGAACTAGGCTCGTGTTGGATGTATACTGGTGAGCAAGGTAAAAGCAGACTGACTGTCTGCTCCGATCCTCCTCTGATGCCTGGCAATTGCTCTGTCATGTCCCACCCTACCTGGTCTGACCATGTTTGACCAGGCTGAGCATCTTTCTTGGGGCTTACAGGAGCTAGTGACCCCTCAGCACTACCCCCCCCAATCCCCTGGAGGTGATGACGCGGAGGTGACCTGTCCCTGGCGCAATGCTTAGCAGATAAACAGCTGGTTAATGTGTAGCAGAGAAGTGTGGCTATGGCAGGGGCAAGGAGAGGCCCTGCCATGGGTCCTGCAGGCAGCAGGACTTTCTTTGGGATGTCCTGACCCCAGTGGCATTAGGAGAAAGGCAGTAGCAGCAGTTAGAGATGCTCCACAAGCCCAACGTGATGCCATCTGTGCGGGGAGATGGATGGTTTCTGGCTGTGCCAGGCAGGGCAGCGAGGGGTACTTGGGCGCCCCAGTTCTCCCTCTGTTTGGGGCCACCTGCCCATGGGACCGGACCCTGGAGCACCCATGGGTGCCAGTGCTGATGTCCTGTGCCTCGGACCCTCATCCTTGCTTTGCTGCAGCCCCACTCACCTGCATCAGCCTCTTCTGGAGATGAGCTGGCTCCCAGTGCAGGGAGCTCCTTGCCTGGCAGACACATGGGCTGGCTTGTCCTTGTCACCCAGCTCTACCCCAAGTGACACTCAGAGAAATCCATGGGATGACAGCTGGGAAAATGCCAACCTCAGTCCTGGGCACTTCCATGGCCTCGCAGCCAGATAAAATCCAGGGTGCTAGTGGGGAAAGCCTGGCCAGGGGCACGGGGAGCAGACCCCACCACAGGGCACCGCGGTCCCTGCTCTTCCTCCCCAGCTACCTTTGCTCTGTCCTCTTCTCCCTGCAGGGCAGAGGATGGGTGTTGAAATAGATCTGCCTAAATTTAGATAGGCTAAATCCCAGCCAAGAACAACAAGCAGAGGGGGCAGAGAGAGATGGTGTGCGGCAAGGGCGGGGGGCAGAGGAGCTTGAGGAGGAGGTAGGAGGCCCCAGACCCCCTGGCTGGGTGATGCTACTTGGTGGTGTGGGGTCACGTCACTTGTGGAGTGCAGCACAGGCTGCAGGAGCTGGCTTTCCTGGAGCTACCTGGTTTTCCTTCCTTGGGTGATATTGCAACCACCTGCCTGTACCCCTGTGGAGTGAGTCCCCATGGAAAAGCACTGTGCTTTTCCCCGTGGGGTGTAACCCCACAGGGAATACTTTTTCAGCTGTATCTCTCATAGCTTCCCCTCCTGGGGCACAGCTGAGTCCTGAACGCAAACACGGCATGGGCCAAAGGTGGCCTGTGTCCCCTGGGGTCGATGAACGCTGGGCCGTGCTGGCTGGGTTCCGGAAAGCCCACCTGCAAGGGCTTGGGTGCAGAGAGCAGCTGTGCAAACCCCTGTCCCTGCGGGGAGGAGAAGTGGTGGGGAAATGGCCAGGTCAGGCTTTTGCAGGGGTGGCCTGTCCATTTAGGATCCCTGGCAGTTATAGCTGGAGGGCAAGGATTGAAAGCAGGTCCCGTAGTGCTCCCAGCACCCACAAACCCCTTTGGAAACCCATTCAGAAAAGCCTCCTGCCTCCTAAACCAAATTCCTGCTGTTTTCCAGGTCTTGCTCCTCACAGCAGGGACCGAAGCCTCCCAGACCCACAGTGCCCTTGACACCTTCGCACCAGGAGACTCATGGTTACCTGAGCCCAGGAGAGCAGATGGAACTTAACCAAATCCCCCCAGGTACCGCCATGCCCCTCCTGGGGGAATCGCTCCCGATTTCTGCAGTGCATCTTGAGACCAGTTTGGTTTGTTTAGGGATGGGAGGGAAAGGGGTTTCCCCCTCTGACCCTCTCCTCTTCTGCTCTGACCCTGGCACAAGCTCTCCAGCTGCATGAACCAAGCAGCCAGCACTGGTGTGGGTCATGGCAGCTGCTGAACTGCTCTTCACCCAGGGAATTGGGGAGAAAAGGAGGGATCACGGCTGCTTACTGCAGAACAAGCTTTAATCTATAGCCAGACTCTTGTTTTAAGTGTAACAGTACATCTTGGGCGCAATGGATAGAAGAAAGGAAAACAAAGAATAAATACCAGCTTGGGTTCAAATCCCAGCTGGGATTTACATCAGCAGCTACTGGAGGAGGAAGGTTTTAGATGCCCGTTTTGGGGGTTTTTTTTGCTCCTGGGGTGCATGGAGGCTTTGCAGCTATTTTCCCTGCCCAGTATTTATGCACTGGCTCTCTGTTACCTGGTAACAAGGGATAACCAGGGAGTGGAAAAAATGTTGTTTAAAAAATAAGACCCATATCTCAGTGTAGCCTCCCAAGGTCCACCCTGGCCATGCCTTGGACGCCTGGTATTCTCCCCATCTGCTGCTGTAGGTTTCCCCACAGCAAGCCCCCGGCGCGGGCAGGCACAGACACCCACCGAGGGAATCGGTTACACGCAGGGTAGGAGCAGGGGTGGGCAGGTGGGAATTCTTCTGGAACAGCAGACGGTACCATCTGGGCTTGTCGAGAGCAGAGGCCTCTCGGCATCCCACCCACCCGCTTCATTTGGACAGGGGAGGGGAAACTTGGAATAGCGAAACCAAACTGGGATATCCAGGTTGCTGCAGCCCGGAGGCCAGATTGTGGGGCTTTCCTCACAGCCCTGAGACTCAGTGTTATGGGTGCACGTCCCTGGCGATGTGCTGGATCCCAGCCACACAATGAAACAGGGCCATCCGTTGCTTTAACGCCATCAGTGCACAGCAGCTCTCCAAGCTGGGGGCTGCAGGCATATGTTGGACTGAGGAGGCTGGGAATCTCTCCCAAGCTGACAGAGAGTCACGGTACCAAGACAAAAGCATCTGTGATCAAACTGCTTCCAAAAGCCAACTCCCCCCTCCTTCCCACCAGCAAAATCAGCTGGAGATCTAGGAGGCACAAAGCACTGGATCCTGCCGCTGAGGGGGCTGCAGAGCAGCTGGCCTCACCCAGATCCTCCTGCCCAAAAAGATGAGGCTTTCCCAAGCACTGCAACACCCCAGGAGAGGGGAAGAGACCTTGATCGTTGGTGCAGAGCAGGTAGTATGCAGTTCTGCCTGTGAGCATCACCCACATGGATTGTTGTCTGGAGCAATGCCATCCCTCCAAAGGTTGGAACAGCATGGTCACAGCTCAGCTCCAGCCCCTATCTAGCCCAATCACTAACACAATGAATTTAGCAAGAGTTTGGTTTAACCCGAGTGCTTTGGAGATTTAATTTGCTGAGGGAGACCAGCCCCAGCTTGGTTCTGAGCTGGCATCAGCCCTGTCTGCAAACCCAGTGCTGCCAGGAGCCCTGGTCCGAGCCAAGGTGGATTTGCACCCAAAATGGCCTGTGTGGATGGGGAAACATGGCAAAACATACCTAAAGAGGCATCAGGAGCTTGTCTGCCTCCATCAGAGCTGTGGACAAGAGCAAACCCTCCTGCCACCCACCAGCATTGCAAGGTGAGAGCGTACAGCCTGTGCATAGCACATCCACGCTGCTCCTGAACGCGGCTCGTTTAAGCCACTGTCCTGGAGAGCTCCACCAGCCTTTCCTGAGCATCCCTGGACAAGTGGGATCAGCCAGGCTCCTCAGGTTGGAGGCAGGGGATGAGCCAAGCTGTGAACGTCATCCCTGCGCTCCCTGGACCACAGCACAGCAGCCAGCATCCCCTGGGAGATGCAGGAGAAAGCTGAGCCAAGCTGCAGGGCTGGGATCGGAGTCGGAAGAGGGGCCTGGGGAAGGCAGGATTTGCTGGAGAGTTGGAAGAGAGGATCTCGCTTCTCTCCAGGTACAGATGCAGCAGCGGACGGGTTGTTTGCACAGTGCCTGCTCGAACTCAAAGCATCCACCCTTCTTTCCACAACGTGCTTGGCATGAAACTCCCATCCCTCCCTCCCCAAACCTGTGCCGAGGATCCCAGTGCTCCACTTACCCCAGCAAATGCCACTCTGACCAGCCACAGGACAGGCCACTGAATGCCCCCAGACCTTCCAGACGTGAGTCCTGGTACCCGGCGTGGGTTTGGCTCCAGGCAGGAGTGAGGAGGGAATCACGGCTGTTAACGCCCTGGGCTCAGTGCAGAGGGAGCAGAAAACAGCTGAACTTTACGACAGCCCGATCCGTCACCGCGAGCTGGAGGAGAGGGGGCTAAGTCGATGCTTTAAAAATAGCCAGTAGTATTTTTGATCCCGAAAGCCAGATTCCAGTGGGGAGGGGAAGGGAAAAGGAGGGAGAGCCAAAGGCTTCCCAACTGCGCACTTCAAATCTGTGGGCAGAGCGAACTGCACGCGAGATGGACATGGGGTCCTGGCTGGATCACTCAGAGCTGCTGATCTCACGGGTTTCTCCAAGCTCTGGGAAAAACGAGCAGGTTGGGAATGCAAAGAACTGCTGGAAATTCAAGGCAGGCTCTTCTTTCAGCAGCACCTGCCTCCTTGAGCATGGGAGCACCCGGCCTGGGTGCCTTCCCCTGCCACAGCAGGGCTGGGAGTGAAGAACCTGTGCCTGCAAGCAACTGCTCTTCTCCCAGCTCTGCAAGGAAGGAGATGGAAAAACCGATGAAGATGCAAGTCTGGAGTCAAATTAAACTCTTCCTCCAGATTTCTCCAGCCCAGAGCTTTCCCTCTCCCTTGCTTGGAGAGCTCAGGAGGTCCCGGAGAAGGGCAGGTGCTGGGAGGACCAGAAATCTCAGTGCTACCTCTGGAGAGGGAAGATCTTGAGAAGATCGGGGAAGAATCAAGGAGCTGCATCCTTTAACCACCTCGCTTGAAGGTATAACCCAGGTCCCATGGTCCTCTCCACCATGGTACAGCACATCCACATGGGGCTGGCATCCCTCAGCTGCCTCCGGAGCAAAACCGTCCATCCCACTCCCCTGGATGCTGCATGGAGACGCTCCTGAGATGCTGACATGCAGATAAATCACCAGCCCCAAGCACCTGCTCCAAGGCTGGGCAGCTGCAGGGCCGGGAAGCACTGAGGCTAAAAAAAGATGGGAGCAGATGGGGCTGGACGCAGCCACTGCTTTGCAGAGGAACCAGGAGTTGTCCCCTGCCCTGTTCAGTCTCTGCCGAATGCCAGCCCCGTGAGTGATGGTGGCAGTGCCCAGCGCACGCAGCTGGGGTGCTGGGGACTACCAGCAAGCTCAGGCGTGCCTCAGTTTCCCCATCAGCTAAAATGCAGCGTCCTGGTGTCCACGTAGAGTGGTGGGAGAGGAAGGTCTGGGCTCTGCGTGGCTTCAGTGCAAGGTTGTCACTGGGTGCGTATGGACCCTCCGGACACTGGTGAGAGCCCAGCCCCCCCTACCCTCGACCCCCAGCCCCACCGAGTGCAGGATGCGGCCGGGAGCTTGGAGCTGCCGGGGGGGGGGGAGGGGGGCTTTGGGGACGCGGGGACAGCAGGCGAGCGGGGACACGGTACCACGAGGTGGCAGCAGCTCTTTGCGAGTGGCAGTGGGGCTTGCGAGGAGGAGGAGGGGGCTGCCAGGGCCATCCCTGCCTGCCCCGGCCCCCTTCCCCTGCCTGCTCTGCTGCCCACCTGCCTGAAAGGAGGGGAGGAAAGGTGGCCTGGGGGTTGCGGGACGGAGAGGTCCCAAGCTCAGCGTCAGAGCCGTCCGGGGAGCAGTGGGTTTGATGTCCAAAGGACATCAAAGGACCCTCGGTTTCCACTCTGTGCCTCAGTTTCCCCACTCCTGCTTTCACATCACCCAGGGGGTCCCCCAGGCTGAGCTCGCTCCATCATGCTGCGGCCCATCTAACAGGTCAAACGAGAGCAAGGCACTTGGAAAAAACAACCCCAGGTGTCCCTTGGAGAGTTCTCCCACCTCCCCCCCAAACCCTGGGGCACCCACGTTGCCTCACCGAGCTCCCTCACCAGCTCTGAGATGGCGGCAAATTTGGGCTTCCTCTACCCTCCAGCTGGGAACTATTGCTTCCACAGCTGTGAGATGGAGAGGCTTTGGCTTGGCACAGATGAATTAGTAAAGAGCTGGGGAATCACTTCTATGGGTTTGCTCCCATAAATGGGAATAACACCCTTTCCCAGGAGTCACCCTGTCCATCCCCAGGCCTCCAAAATGCTCCGGCGGGGGATTTTAAATGACCTTTTTGTTGCCTTTAGCAGAGGTCTGGGGAGAAGATGGGCTGGAGAGGGGGGACACCTTCAGGGAATGATTTTTCCTTGCTCCCAAGCAGAAGGAAATGAACTCCCAGCTGAGCTCCTGCCGGTGCCAGCTCAGCCCAAGAATACCTGGAAATGGTTGGGTTCCAAAGGGGGAAAAACTAATCTTCAATTTATGGGCTTCTTTACACAGGGAAATAGAGAAATATCCCTCGCAATATGTGGGGGATTGGAAAACAGAGTAAATCAGCCAGAGACTTTTCAAATTTGGTGTAATTGTGTGGCTGTGACACAGGAGTCAAGAGGCCTTCCTGCCCAAGAGTGGGGGGGGGCTGGCTGGGAAGAGTGGAAGAAATCGGGGGGTTCCGGGTGCTCCCACTGACCTGTTGAACTTCACTTTGCAAACCAGGTTCCTGCCAAGGCAACCAAAACCCTTGGCCAGGCTCACCGGCAGGAGCGATCTGACATGGCTGCCTCACTGGGAGATGCTCCTGCAGCTTTCGCAACCTCCTGTCCCCTCCCAGGTAATGTGGGGACTGCAGCAAAGGCCATGGGGGAAAAACACGGCCCCACACACGTTGCAGATGCCTGCAGCACGGACCTCGCTCCTGCTAAACCTTCGTCACATGGGTTCAACTTCATGGCTGCAGTGGAGGTGCTGCTCTCCATCACCCACCTTGCAGCATCCATCACCTGGCCGTTTTGAAGGGGGGGGGGGGTTGTCCAAACCAAAGTCCTCGAGGTTTCTGTTCCATGTTAGCAGATTAAAAGCCCTGTCTCTCTTGCAGACATGTCTAAAGGGAAAATGTCTCTTGGGCTTGAACCTGCTTCACCCTTGCAGGGGTTTGCAATTTGCTGTAAAAATCAGGCAGGGTGTCTCGGGTGGCTTCCTTTGTGACACCGGAGCTCACCAGCAGCAAACAGGGCTCCGAATCCAGCCCGTAGCACTGAAAGGCGTGAATCCCTGGAGATTAGAGGGTTGGGTTTTGGTGGGGTTTTTTTTTGTTTTGTTTTGTTTTTTTGTTTTTCCACAATGCCATTCAGGGCCTGGAAAGGCTGTCCCTGTCACCTCGACCCAGTCCAGCTCTCCAGCACGGCTATGCAAATTGATCAGTGCTTTTGCAGGCAACATTAGAACTCGGATGAGCAGGAGCTCCCCGGGGGGTAAGACACTGGCTGGGGGTTTGTGGGGCTATTTTAAGTGAGGTAAAATGAGGGAGGGATGGTTAATTGATTTCTGTGATTAACTAAGAGTTTGTCAGCGCAATAGTCTTGGGTTTACTCTCCTTGGTTTTTGCAGTGGGGAATTATTTATTTTTAAACAGTGGTTGGGGAGGGAGTGTTTCTTTTTCTGTCCCTGAATATTTCCAGCAAGAAAGTCATTAATCTCTAGCTGATTTTTAGCCTGGGGAGGGAAACGAGTGTGTCCAGCCGCATGGGAAAGAAAAGCTTCAAATGCTGTTGCATTAGCTGGCAGGCAAACCCGTGCAGCTCCGGTGTGAGAGGCAGAGCACAGCTGCTTTGCTTTCACATGAGAAATCCTAACAGGATCCTACCAGGACCTATCCCACCTCCGGCAGCAAATTCGGTGCCAGTGGCAAATTGCTGTCCTGGCCAGCAGTGGGAAGCGGCTGTAGCCTCCTTGTGCTCGCCATGACTTCCCTTGCAAACTTTTCATCCATTCCCTCTGTGGAAATCCTCAGTCACAATTTTCTGGCATTTCTTGGTTTTCCATTAGAAAAATCAAGAGGAGGGAAACTGTGGCAATTTATTGTTTTGGTGAAAGCATCCTTGCTGGTTTTCCGGGCACAAGGGTAGGGGGAGAGTGTCCCTGCACGAGAACGTGTTTCCTTTGTACTTCCCTAGGGTGGGACAGCAAGGGGTTAATATGGAAAAGATGGAATAGACGTGGCCCATCTGTCAGGATCCACCCTGATGGACCTTAGGCTGGTTGGTTATTTTTAATTTAAGAGACTTGTCAATCAGTGCCCACTTGCTGGCCTGCCAGCCCACCGCGTCTCACTTTGGCCAAGGCTGGAGTGTCAGCTGGCAGGCAGCAAAAATCCACCTCAGCCCAGAAATTATTATTAATAATAATAATATTAATATGATCACTGGCAGGAAAAGTGCAAGCGGGGAAGAGGTGGGGAGAGCATGACAACCCCTCAGTTTGTATCTGTTGGTTGTCTTTCCCGTGCCTTGTGTTTTGTGTGGCTTTTCCTAACCAGAGATAAAAAATAGTGGTTTAAGGGATGTTTAAGTCAGCTCTTGAGAGGCTGGAGGAGGCTGCGTTGATCCCCCCACAAAGGAAAACAAGTGAAAGAGAGAAAAACAAAAAAAGCCACAAGGCTCTTTGTGAAAGGAATTAAAATGGGTCTCAGAGGCTGCGAGTGCTGGGATAGAAACAAGCGCCAATGGGAACGGGAGCCCTCGGAAAGAGGACTTTCCAAGAAGAGAGCTGCGGATACAAAAGCAACTGGCTGGGAAAGGGAGATGTGCTGGGATGCTGTCAGCTGGAGCTGGGTGTGGGCAGGGACTGGGCAGCAGCAGCATCCCAGGTCACCCTCATTGCCGCTGCGATGCTCCTGGGGATGTCAAACCGGGGGCAAAAGCACTTTACTGGGATGCAGGTCCCTGGGCCAAGGATGCCAGGCAGTGTGGGATGCATGTAGGGTAACCCTATAAACTTCCTCTGTGCTTGGCACCCACCTGCCCTTCCTACACATCTCTTCACCTGATCTTTGCAAGTTTGGAGGAGGAATTAAAAATATTAAAGAAAAGCATGCCAAAGCTTTTACGACAGGAAAGGCCTGGGACCTGTCTTTAGGATGCTTTATTTTTTGCCTCCAAGACATTCTAGGCAAATCCCAAAGGTGATCCTGCAGTGGTGCAGAGAAACGGGACCATCCTGAGTCCTGGGGAGGTTCATCCTCTGCCAGGATTGTGGCCTCGACACATCCCCAGGGCTCCCCAGATGCACAGCTGCACCGAAGCTGGGGCTAACCTGCCAGCATTGAAGGAGCCACCCCCAGATTTACACTGTTCTACTAAGCTTTTTGGCTAGCATTATCCCTCTGCCTTTTTAAAATGAAAATAATATGGTAAAAAGACAGAGGGGGGACAACCCTGTGTCTGCGAACATGGTGCTTCACCGCTGCGCCCAGCATTTGCAGCAGCAGGTTGGGAAAGCATCCTCCCATTGCATTGCAGCTTATTTTCCCATTCCCTGCTATTGCCAACCTTGAGGTTAGACCCTGTTGGTTTTTCATTTCTACAGAGGGGGGAATAAATTAATTAAATAAATTAGATTTTATAGCGCTATATAGTGTCCTTAGCCATGCTGAAGGCTTTCCAACTGCATTTCAACCAGCTTTGCTGTGCAACAGCTGCTCTGGGCCAAGGGATCTTGTAAAAGAAACACCCCCAAATAGGTTGTGTTGGATTTGAATTAATCATCTGCTTGGTTTTGCCTTTGTGAGAGATTTTTTAATGCAATCAGGTCTGCCAGAAAATGGACGATAAGAAAGCACGGTAAATATATTGTCCGATGACCACAAAACAAATGCTGTCAAGAAAATGGAATGAAGGCTTGAAAAATGGGATTTCAGAAGGAAATATTGAGCTGGCATCAAAACCAGCATTGTTTTCACAGAGCGAGGGAAGTGAGTCTTCCTTAGGACTGCTTGAGGGCAGAGAAGAAGTCCCTTGGAAAGTTTGAATTTGGGCTGACTTTGCTGGCTGGAGCTTTTGCCACTGAAAATATTTGGGAAGTCACCTTCTAAAATGAAACAAATAATTGAGTCCCAAATCAGCATGAAGGGACATACAGGGGTTTTATTTTGGGGTGGCCATGAATATATCTTCATTCCCCGCAAGAAAGTATTGCAAAATATGTTCAACATCCTCTGATGCTGCCATGTGCGTTTTTAATTCCTCTGCTTTTGGTCTCTTGGCTGTTTTTCCCAGGAGAGGACCCATCTTTCCCAGGGAATCCTGCTCGCTCGCTTCCCCTCTGTCTCCCCCTTAGCAGATCCTTGCACTTTCCGGGGACGATTTCCCTCCGATAACATCCCTCACTTGCCGTTCCCAGGAGCTGTTTTACGCCCCACAAAGACCCTCCCTCAGCTTCCAATTTTTTTTTTTTTTCTTTTGCCAAAAGCCCTTTTTGTGTCGCCTTCTCAGGGACCTGAATTAAACCCGGTGTTTAGCAAACGGGGTGGTGGGATTGAATGTTCAACGGCTTGTAGCTCATAAGGATGATAGAAACGCTGTGGGCACAGAAGATCCTTATTCCAGAGATATCATAGCAAAAAATACTGACTTGAAATGTCCTTTACACTGATTATATCCAGAAGCTTTCTGGTGTTTTAAACTAAATTTATTTGCAGCAATACTGATCCATTGTTTGCATAGGGTTCGGGGAAGTTTAAGCAGCAGTTATAAAAGTCTCAGCTTTTCTAACAAATTATAAAAGCTTTTCTAACAAATTATAAAAGCCTCAGCTAAAGCCTCAGCTACTTACTGGAAGGAAAATAAATACTTTTTTAAAGATACTTGAAAATTTAGTAAGCATGTTCCTATTAGGAAAAATCACCTTGTCTGCTTGGTGAGCATATTGGATCCACTAAATCCACCTCCATCCCCTTTCTATCTCCCCCAGTCCCCCATTCCCACTGGTGGAGGACACCCGGCAGCAGGTCATGGAGGGTGAATTTATGCTGGATTTGAGCCGGATAAGAGACCCAAGCACGGCAGAGGAGCTCGCCCAAAACCCATGCCCATTCTGGGCTGGCTGAAGGCTCTTTTTCACAGTTTTTATCCTTATGCTGCACTGATTTGCACCCTGTGTGGCCGTTTACTTTGCCTACGAAGCCAATTGCCATGGGTTTTACACCACTGCTTGTTCCTCAGGTGGCAATGAGTGCACACAGCATGGAGAGTCCTAAAGTACAATTTCAATACAAAGCTTTCAGCTTCATTAAAGACATGCTAAATACCCCTGAGCACACAAGGACCTGCCAGGCGCTGGAGAATGGAGCTGGTTTGTTATGGAAGGCATTATCCAATCTCAATTGCTTTTATTTTTTTTAAATCCTACTTAATAGTATTAATCTGCAAGTATCTTTTCTGTTCTTTTCCAACATAGCTGCACAGGCACGCTGGGCTGGAGAACTCGCTGTTTTTTCCCTTCGACGAATAGGCAAAGTGGCCTCCATATTTGCAGAAAATGCTGTTAACTATTGCAAAGGGAAAAGTTAAAGGCTGGGAGCGGCGGAGGGAGCTGGGAGCGAGCGGGGAATGTGCAGCCTGCAAAACTTCAGCTGCCGCTAGACACGGTGAGCTATAAAGCCATAAAAGCCAGCTTTATGAGCACTACCCCATCCCTGGGTTTGGGGAAAAAACTAACAAAATGTTCAAGCCAAACCATTTATGTTTTTAGAAATAAGTTTGGAATCTAAAAGTGGTAAGAGTGATTTAATTTTTTTTTTTTTAAAGGCATTCCTGCATTTGCTTAATCAACATTTGCTTTTGGCTTGTGCTGGAGCAACACAGAAGAAAAACAAATTCCTTGGGATAAAAGCAGCTCTCTGCCGCGGTATTAGAAGCACAAAGGTGTCGGCAACACGGCATAGATGAGATTTGTTTAACACTCCTCGAGCCTTTTAAACCACAAATTAATGAACTTCAGACCGATGCAATATTGATGGTAATCTTTCCTTTTTAATTCGCTTACTTGTTCATTCGTTTTCTTGCTCAGTGCTTGCTGGATCTGACAAGGGTTCCTCGCTCTGCACCAGCTTAAAGGGGAAAGGTTACGGTCCAGCAAGGTGGGTTTGAAATAATTTCTTACCAACATATCATTTCTCTGGGAAAAATCTGTTGGCATCGGCAGGCACTTACGGGTAGAACGAAGAAGGGAGCTGCTCGTTTGGGGGCTTTTCGGGGGGGGGAAGGACTCGTTCCCATTGCTAAGGAGGATTATCAGGTTTAATTCCTTTTTCCCCTTCTCCCTGCTTTTGCGCTTAGAAAAATAAGGGTGAATCAACAGTCCTGCAGCTCAGTGGCTGTTCAGGGTGATGTGCAAGCTCCAGATAAATATCTTTTTTTTTTTTCATCTGTTGTTATCTTGAAATAGCTGGTAAGAGCCATGACTGAAAGCTGGTGGCATCCTCTAACAGCCTACTCTAAGCCACTGCTCCTCTTTGTAAATTCAGAGTTCATCCCTCCAAGCCCAAGGAAGTGATGTATTCCTGGCCTTATTTTATAGAAATTTTATAGATTTCCTATAATCAACTTCTCTGGCTTTTGCTAAAGGTTACTTTTTGATTTTTAAACAGAAGAAAGAAATTGATTTAGCCCTCCTGGATTCAAATAAAAGGTGTCAGGACTTTTGGGGCACAAAACAGGAGAATGAGAAAGCGGGTTTGCAGCTGCAATTATCTAAATTGCCTGAATTATCTGAATTATCCTCATGTCTCCCACGGGACAAGATACCCGGCTAGAAAGGCCGAGCAGGGACCACCAAAATTGCACGGGGAGGTGAGAGAAAATGCAACCGATGGGAGAAATGGGGTAAGGATTCAGCAATGGAAAACAGGGATGTTATCAATCGCTGTTTTAATGTCGCTCAGGGGATGTGGTACCTGATGGGCACTCAGGGATGGAGTTATCTCTCCATCTCCTGGATCAGGCTGTGCATGTGGGCAGAGGAAGGTCTCAACCTCTCCCTGCCGAAACGCCTGCACTACAGACGCGGCCGGGAACTGCCGAGGGACAGTATTCCCAAAATGCCTCATAAAATCCCTATTTCTCTCCATCAGTTGAGTTTAACAACCCTCAGCTTCATCCTTCAGATATTACCACTATTAATTATCCCACGTACAAAAACTTTTTAGGACCATCCTCAGCCTCATGGAAAGATTTGTGGTTTACTTTGTGCAGGCAGGGCTGAAGCCTTCACTGGCAAAGCCAAATGGGAAATTTCTTGCTTTATGATCAAATCCCTCCTTTTTAATATAAATAAGTAACTGTCCTGGAGAGCTGAGCAAATTTGCAGTGTGTGGTTTTATGGAGGAAATGCATTTTAGAGGTAGTAAAAATAGGATTTTATGGTGCAGAGAAAGCAAACTGGGTTTGTGCAAGAGGCTGCAGCGATGCTGGTCCGGACCTTTGATGCGTGTCTGTGGAAAACAGTCACTGCTGTAACTTTTCCTAATGCAAGAGGGAAAGGTCAGCGTCAGCTGTGCTCTTGCCCCGGCGTCGACACTGGGAGGGATGCTCCCATCCTCATGTCTGCCGGGGCCCGAAGCTTCCCCTTCTCTTTTTTTGGGGTGCTGGGGCTTGGAGCAGGTGGGATTTCTCCCCAAAGTGCTCCTGGGAAGCAAGTTAAGAGCTGGAAAATAGGCAGGGAAATATCTGGCTGGAGAGGGGAATGCTTAAAAAAAATCAGCCCCTGTATCCATCCTGCTCTAACAGGTCCCCCGCAAAATTTGGGGGTTAAAACCCTCCCTCTGAATCATGGGGAGGCTGCAACCCCAGCCAGGATCCTGGTTCCTGGGACTGTGCATGATTTTTTGCAGGGTCTTTAGGCGGTTATGGGGAATTTTACCCATGCACAGAGCTGGGGAAATGAAGACAGGGAGTGAGGTGGTGACATCCTTGGCACCTGGTGCAAAGCCCACCTGCCAAAGTGGACCATCTCCAGGTGGGGACACCCAGGGACATGGGGATGCCTAAGGACATGGGGACACCCAAGGTCATGGCCTTGATGCCTTCAGAGCACCCCAAACCAGCCCCATCACCCCAGGGTGGTCTCCATCCACCCCAGGGACCCCCAAGCCCAGCTCAGCCCCACCGGCAGCGGCCCCACGGTGGGGACAAGCCAGACATGGTGCCCCAGGAGGCGAAGGGGAGCCCCCACGCAGCCACCAAGGGGCCACACCGTGTGAATTAACCAACTTTGTTTTCCACCAAGGCTTTTCCCTTAATAGCCGTCCCCCTCCCCCTCGCTTTTGCCGGCATTTGAGGAGAAGTGAGGCGTGAGAGATCCTTTGGAATAATGAGGTGTAATTAGCCCTGGCAGCTCTTATCTTCCACCCCCCCCTTCAATTAGATTGAAATAAAAAAAAAAAAAAAAAAAGAAAGAAAAGGGGGGGGAAATAAAAAGGGATGAAAAGGAAGGTGGGGAGGGAGGGAGGCGAGAGAAAGTTGGACGCCTTGTCCAGCTTCATCCTTCTGGGCCGTGTCCTGGTCCCTGTGGATGGGGGATGCTGGTTGCTGGCACCGTCCCACTTTGTGTGGCTGCTGCCGGGGTGGGGAGGTTTTCTCCGTGCCTCAGTTTCCCTCAGCTGTGCTGGCGGTGGGGGCAGCCGGCTGCAGGCACTGACTTGGCAGGGTATGGAAACCAACCGCTGCAGCAGGGCAAGAGGCATCGTTAGGGGTGTTGTGGATGAAAGCAGATCCTTGAATCCCGAGCATCCCTTGAGCCCCGAGCATCCTGCCGGCACGGTCCAGGCAGCCTTGGGATGGGCAGGAGCTCTCTTTTTCCCTGCCAGACACCGGTTTCTAACCCCGGCTTTGATTCCCATGTGCCACATCGGGTTGCTGGTGCACAAGGGAGGTGGGAAAAGTCGCTGCAAGCAGGACCTGGGTGCAAGGGAGCTGTTTTCGGACGGCTCCATCCCTCCCAGCTCATCCCTGCATCCCCCGTCCTCGCTACCTCCCGGCCTCCGACGTTGCCCGTCCACCCCATTCCTGCCCCACTGCCATTCCTGCTCGGCCCTTGATCTTTCATACCCATGACCCTGATCTTCAGGCTGACAGGCTGATGGATGGGCAGTGCCCCAGTGATTTACGACGTCCTTTAATATTTGGCAAAGTGGCCAAAAGCCCCGGGCAGCCGACAGAGCTGGGTGGGGGGGAGACGGCTGGGAGATTTGTCAACCTTTGAGCCAGGGAGGCGGGGAGGGAGGAAAGTGCCCTGTCTGTCCGCAGTGATTTATACACAATCACTGTGATTAAATTGGCCTTAGCTAATGATAACTAACTAGTCAGGGGCTGACCTTTCTCTGACAATGGAAGGGGGCCGGGAGCCACGCTGCTGCGGGGTGTCTAATGGGGATGTTTCTTCAGCCAAGACACCACTCTTTTTTTTTAATATCACTCTCTTTTTTTCCCCTTAGAAATGGTTCCCCAGCTGGCCCCACGTACAGAAGATGCAGGACGCCACATCCCCGCACACCCCAGGGTCTCGCCCCTGCCGCACGTCTCCTTTCTAGGCTCCATCAGCTGGGGCTGCATCGGCATGACCACAGCTGGGTACCATGGCCCGGGAGGGACCCGAGTGCCTGAGCCCATGGTACCACAACTGGGAGGGCCAAACAAGTGGGTCTGATGGTTTTTATCTGGGGAGGACTTGAAATATGTTTCCAGTGAGAAATCTCACCCATAGCCAAGCTGAACAGGGTCCTGGGGGGCTGCACAGGCACCCTCAAGCCTGAAATGTCCTGGTTTTCCAGGGATGCCGTATTGTCTGTCCATCCTTCCTCACATCCACCCGTCCCTCCCTCCCTCTCTCCACCTCTCTCTATTCTCCTCCATCTCTTTCACTGTTCATCGCCATCTCCCCACCACACTGTGGAGGGGAACAGCCTAGTGTGTCCCTGCCAAGCCATGGTGGGGGTATATGAAATGATAAAAAAGGGCGTTTTCTGCTTTAAACCACTTTTTGCCTCCTCTGCTTGACCTAAATAAAACCCACAACCATTGAAATGAAGCCCCTGACCACCTCCAGGCTCAGGTTTCACTGCTCAGCTCAGATTTTTCCCATCGGCACTCTTTACACAGGTTTGTTTTTTTGGGTCCCGTTTCAGATGTGTGTGTTGATGTCGCTGCATCCAAAGATTTCCCCGGCAGGGAGGGACATTGCTGTCTCGCTGCGGCCTGGAGAGACACCAGAGAGATGCGCCGACGACCAGAGTTAAGGGTAAAAGGGAGTAAAATCTTCAAGGAGCGGGGATGGACGTCTCAGTGCATGCTGCCCTGGCTGTGCCGAGCGGTGCCCCCAGCTGCATTCACCCTCCCTGCCCCGACGTCTTGACACGCGGATAAAAGCCGGGCTGAAGGGACGATTTCATGGAGATTAACCTCACGCGCTGTGCTGGGGCTGCCGCTGCCCTTGACACTGGGTCCCCCATGTATCAAAGGTGGATTACAGATATATTAGCCCCGCCACTGGTTTTATTAGTGGCGGTTTATCACATGGAGGGGGTCAGCCAAGGGCAGGGGACAGAGGAGCCCAGCCACCCTCCGGCGACCCAGAGTATCACAGAGAGGCCTTAATTGAATTTTTGGGAGGAGACCTGGGCTGGGGTCAGTGTTTGCTGCCTGGCCCCGGTACAACTCCCTAAGATTTGTGGTGCTGATGGGTGATGCCTGCGGTGCCCACAGCGAGGGAGAAGGGAAGCCTTTGGCCTCACTGCAGGCAGGGCTGCCCCTATGCACCACCCTGGGCTGGGTTTAGAGAGATTTGATTCAAAAATAAATCAATCCCCTTTGGGAGGCACTCGGACAGCTTCTGCTGGGGATGGAGATGCCAGTCCTGTCCTGCCTGGGTGCATCCCTCTTCATCCCACACAAAACCTCCCCTGGGCTGGAGGAATTTGCCTCCTTCGACCCAAACAAATGCCTTCGAACACTGAGCGTTCCTGTGCGGCACCAGGGTACCCAAACCCAAGGGGGCTCAGGTGGATGCTGGGATGCCCGGCATCGATGCAACGAGGCACATCGAGGAGGTGGGGGCAGGATTTGAGCCTGAAAGAGGTTGAAGTGGGGCAAAGCAAGGGGGAAGAGAAACCTCCCGAACGGGGCGTTTTAATGACATTCCATTAAAGCTCCCTTTGGGGCTGGCACGGCAGCCATGTGCTCCACATTCTCATGGTAATTATGAGACATCTGTATAGAGGCTCTTTTCTCATCAAAGATGGCTCTCTTCAAAGACGCTCCTGGGAAACCCTTCACCTCTGACCGAGGGGGTCACTGCCGAAACAGTGGCTCTATAGTCCGCGTTACTGTAAAGCCCAGTATCCTTTTTCCTCCCCTAACCTGACCAGTTCCCGGCTTTTCAGGCACGATTCGTTGAGCTTGAGAGGGTTGGGGGGGGGGCAGCCACCGGTTTCAGAGAAGGGTCTCCCACACACACCCCACAACCACCACCACTAGTGCCAGTCCTGGGTGCCGTCATCATCATCGCCTGCGCTGACCCCAGGCGCAGGAGGGAGATCAAAGTAGGATGAAAAGGCGTTTAATGAGAGCGGACGGGGCTGAGGGTTTCCTGTCCCCGCACTGGGGAAGGGGCGGCCTCCGCCCCCCACAGTGTCACCCATCACCACTCTCTGCCTGGTGCGCCCCACCTGGGAAGTGCCAGGTCCCAGGGAGTGATTTTTGGTGATTGCCACAAACAACCCCACCGTCCTCCATGCTGCAGAGGTGACGGGGATGTGCCTGAGGTCCCCCTCAGCCACAAAATATGGGCACTTCGTCACCGTGAGGGTGCTCGATGTCACCACATCTGCTTGGGATGGAGACCACCTTGTCCCATGAGGATGTTTCGAGCAGAGCCAGCATCGCTGTCCCATCCACGGCACCGGCATCACTGTCCCATCCATGCCACCGGTGACCCTGATGTCCCACCTCCCCAGCTGGGGGACAACGGCCTTGGGACGAAGGCGATGGATGCCTGGCAGGTCCCTTGGTGCCGGCGTGGGCGGCTCCATCACGCCAGCACGGCACCAGCGAATGCTCCCCACGGCCCTTTCCAATAAGTGGCAAATGATTCTTCGTCCTGTCGCTCCCCGGCAGCAATAAACCTTAATCACAATGAAGTCATTTGATTTCCACGTCCTGTAATCGTGCGGCGATTTGGCATTAATTAACGAGTGCTTACGGGAAGGGTCGGCTGCCGGAGTTAGCACTGCGCTTTTCCAGAAGATGGATTACCTCCGGAGCATGCATGGGGACACGCCAGTGCTGGGGGACATCCCGTCCTGTGCCAGGAGTGGGGTCCCAAGGGCACGTTGAGCCTAACAAAGCACCCAGCTAGTGAGGGAGGGGACATGGGTGCTGTGGGACCTCTTATTTTCACTCCCACCTCCCTTTCCCCAGCCCGTATTGGTCTTCTCCTGGGCAGGGCTGGTGGGGAAACTGAGGCATGGAGGCAGACAGGCAGGGAGGGGGGAAGGGGCGATTTCTTCACTGCAGCAGAAACGGACAGGCCATCCTGGCATGGTGGGGGTCTGGGGCTCTTTGGGGCTGGGGGTGCTGGACCATGGTGTTGACTCAACAGGGAATTAAGCTCATTAGAAACTTCCTGGGGCCCAGTGTGGGAGAGACCCCAGGGCAGGAGGTCCCGGGGGGGAGAGGGGTTATGCACCCCAGCTGGGGGCGTCATCAGCACCAGGGGATTATTGCCCCTGCGGTTGTTTGGTGGTGATGGGTTTGTGTCTGGGTGGATTCTCTAGTGTCTAATACAAGGGTTGAGTCTCCCCTGATGGCCTGTCCCAAGGCCACCACTGTCCCCCCTCCCCCCTGACCCCCGACTGCAGCCGACCCCAGCCACCCTTCCCCTCGCAGCCCTCGCGCCTTCGCTGCTGTCAGCTGAGCCTTGCCAGCATGCCACCAACACAGGATTCTTCCCTTTGTGTTGGCATCTCCCTCGCCAGAGACTTCCCCGAGTCTGCTGCTCCCTCATTCACAGCTTGGCATCGAACCCTTATTATTCTCTTGTCAATTTGATTTTTTCCCAAAGTCTTCATATTTTGCAAAGGCCTGGGAACACACCCGTGCAATTACACCCCCCAGATCCTCCACCAGTGCCAGAGCCCACCACAAAAAACCAGCCATTCCCCTGCCGAGCGGGTTCAGAGCTGCTGGTGATTTACCAGGGCTCGGAGCGGTGTGTGCCTCAGTTTCCCCAGTGGGGCAGGATGGGGTCCCCCTCTTCTGCACCCCAAGAGGCTGGTGGTGACATGGCATGGCTGTGTCACGGGGTGATGAGAGAGACAGGAATGGGGATGGGGATGGAGATGGGGATGGGGTTAGGGATGGAATGGGAATGGGGAAGTGCTGAGGATAAGGATGAGAATTTGGGATGGGGAGAAGGATGAGGCTAGGGGTGAGGATGAGATTGGGAAAAGGGTGAAGATGATTCAGATAAGGATGGGGCTGGGAAAAGGGTCAGGAATGGAAATGGGCTTGGAGTGAGGATGGAGATGGGGATGGGCAGGGACAGCAACAGGGATGGAGTTGAAAATGGGGACAGGGCTGAGGGCAGGGATGAAGGTGGAGATGGGATGGGGATGAGGATGTGGATGGGAATCAGAATGGGAAAGCGTTGAGGATGAGAATAAGGATGGGGACGGGACGGGATTGGGGATGGGAGCAGCTGGCCTGGGCAGCCCCATGCAGCGGTCACAGGGAGCAGGGGAAGGAGCTGTGCAGGGGCACTGCAGGCCCTCCTCGGGCGGAAGGTCCAGAGGGGACAGACCCTCTCCCAGAGCTTGGCAGGGCCGGGGGGAGACTGGGCCTGGACAGCAGAGTGGGGCAGGGGACAGGCAGAGAGACACCGGCAAGGGGTGCGGGTGCCCCAGGTGATGCTCGGGAGGGTGCTGCCGGCCCTGGTGAGCACTGCTGCCCGTCTGCTGCCCGCGTGCTGCCTGATAAATCCTCCCATCGTATATAAGCCACCCCAGCGCCAGGTTGCCAGATTTTGTCTGGTGCCTTAATGTCAGGACTGTAAATTAGCTCCCAGCACCGAGGCGACCTTGAGGAGTTCTCTGCAGGGTTTAGCATTGGGGGGAGTGGAGCTGGGGGGGGGGGGAGGACACATGGGGGGGCCCCATGCCCAGCTGTGCCTCAGTTTCGCCAGTGCAGGCAGGGATGCTGCTGTGCTGGCAGAGGTTAGTGCACTCTGAACTTGAACCTGCGGGCTGCTGCAGCCCCAGGTCCTGCCAGAGCCCCCATCACCACTGCAATCCCCCAAAATTTGTGGGGACGGTCACCTCCATGTTGGCATTAGGAGCGACAGCTCTGGGAGCCGGTGTGGCCGCTACCAACCCTCAGGTCCCCAAAAGACCCCTGATCCCGGCAGATCCCAAGCATCCTTTGGGATCCCAAGGAGATGGGGACTGGAGAAGGCCCATCCATAACCCCCGGGAGCAGCTTCACCTGGGTCACGGCCACAGTCAAACCCTCCTGGCGGGGATCTCTGCTCTGACCCACCTCCAGCATGCAACGGGTGAAGGAGCCAGGGCAGCACCTTCGCTTAGCATCTGCCTACTGGCTGCAAAGTTACCTCCCAGTTATCGAGTACCTCCCCAGCACTGCCACACGCATGTGTGCATCTACATACACACAGGTGCTTGCGTGCATACCCAGGTTCATAGGCAGACGTGCATGCACACATGTATATGCACCTTCATGAATGCATATACATGTACACATGCATACACATATATGCACATTCAGGCAAGCACTTCTGTGCACATGCATATGTGCACGCACATGCATTCATGCACATGTATGCACATTCAGGCATGCACACACTGCACTGGGCTCATTTGCAGTGCAAATCCCGCTGTGAACTGGGCAAGCACCCCAGTGGGTGCTTGGTGGCCATATCCTGTGCACCCCCACCCCTTTTCCATCCTCTTTTGGGGGTCTCCTTGCCCTTCCCCAGGAGGAACCAGCCCTGGGGTGGGGAAGGACACCCCCCCCCCCCCTCCTCATCTCAGCGCATCCCAGGGCTGGGATGTTTGGCCATCGCTCGCCCAACTGCCAGGCGCTGAGCTCATGGCAGCCAAACAGCTACTTAATCGATCGATTGAGACATTTATCTGCCTCCCTCCCACCACCCATTGCTGTTGGATCGCCTCCAGGTCGCTAAAATTAGAAGCTGTCAAAGCAGCGATGGCCGCGCTGGGAGGGGGAAGCACGGCGGGAAGAGGGGTTGAGGGTGTCTGTGTGAGGAGCATCGAGGATGGTGGCGTGGGATGAGGGCTGGAGGGTGCACCTTGATGTTAGGTGCCTGCACAGGGATGTAGGAGGGATGGGGACAGCAGCAGCTGCACCAGGAATGGGGTTAGAGGGACCAGAAATGGTGTTGGATGGACCAGAAGCAGCATCAGATGCACCAAGGATGGGGTTGGAGGCACCAGGGATGGGGTTGGAAGCACCAAGGATGGGGTTGGAAGCACACACAGGGATGCAGCAGGGAGGGACGCAGCCGGGTCCCTGCTTGTCCCCCCACCAGCTCCCTCTCGGGCAGACCCAGCCAGCCGTGAGCAACTCCAAACCAGGGGAAAAAGAAGGATAAACCCCATCCCCGTGGCAGCTAAAGGCTGGCAGGTTGTAACTAGCCCTGGGGACAACCCACCAGGGGGTGGTGGCACCGCAGGGACAATCTGGGAGCTCCCTGGGCGGGGGGGGGGGGGGGGGGTAAATGCTGCTTTTCCCCTCATTTATTTGCCCCTTGGAATCAAATAAAGGCTTTTTAAGTGCTTCCACTGATATATTTTAATTTTATACCCCGGGTCACCCCCTAAGGTGACAGTTTGGGGCCAGAGGGACATGAAGTTTCCCTGGGCTGACACAGAGGGGCCAGACTTGCTGCTTTTAGCTGCAACTCGACAGGGAAAAGGGAATTGAAATGGGAACACGAGGTGGGAATTTTATATTTTCCCTGGACATATTCTCCACTATTAAGAAAAGAAAAGAAGGAATAACATAAAAAAGAAAGACTGCAGCTTGATGGCTGTGCCAACCCCCCACGCTGCTCCAGCAGCACTCAAAAATTTTAAAATTTTTTTTCGTTGTTGTTATTATTTTTAATTCTCCCCCCACCAGCTTGGCTCCTTAGCTCTGATTGACTGTGACTGACAGCTCTGCCCATCATTTTCAACAGGAGTCACTGCTGGATTTGCAGCTCCCACTCCCTTTATCAATATAATTGGGATTTTTATAAGGAATCTGCATCCGTCCAGGAGGGTTTAAGCCCCCCCTCCCGTGGGGGTCCCAGTGCTCCCCCCCAGGACAATAACTTTTCCCTGTGGCCTTTTCCAGCTTGTCCTTGAATTAAGGCCTCGTGTCCCGCTTGGTGTTTATTTAAAATATTCCCGGTGGAGGTTATTTATAGGGGGGTGAAATGGTGCTGGGCTCGTGCCGCTGCTTTGAAAAGGCCATTTCTGACTTTTCTTTAATGGGCTGTTAAAAATGTGCAATAAAACAGCCCTCCCAGCCCCAGGCTGAGAGCTGAGGGGGACCCAGCCTCTGCCACTGGGCCATACAGGGATCAGACTGGGGACCACACTGGGATCAGACTGGGAGGGGAGGGCTACTGGGCGGTCATACTGGGGTGATGGTGGGACTATACTGGGATCAAACTGGTGGAGCATACTGGGGTTATTCTGAGACCATATAGGGCTCAGATTGGGGCACATACTGGCATGAGACTGGTATCAGACTGGGGACCATACTGGGATGATACTGAGATCAGACTAGGAGGGCATACAGGGATGAGACTGAGACTGCACACCAGGATAAACCTGGAGGCCACACTGGGATCTGACTGGGGCTGCACTGGGCTTTCATTGGCGGCTCATACTGGTGGGACCAGGAGAGGCTTATACTGGGAGTGCACAGGGACCACACTGGGGGTGGATGGGGCTTAACTGGGATGAGCCTGGGACCACCCCATGCCCATACTGGGAGAGGACGGAGCCCACTGGGCTCAGCCGCTGCCACTTTTCCTTCTAATCCCAACTGCAGCCAAAAAAGATTTAAAAAAAAAAAGGTGTGGAAGTTGTCAAATTCCATTTTTTTAAAGAAGATAAATAAAAAATATAATAATAAAAAAACCCAACCCAGCCCACGAGCAGCAGGGGGGAAGCACACAGCTAATAAAGAAAAAAAAAATTGAATAAAAAAATTAATAATAATATACGTTTGCCTTGCCCACTGGAGGGAATGAGGATATAATATAGGCTTTTATTTTATTTTCTCTTTATAAATAGTCCCCCCTCTCCCCATGCCCCGCAGGGGGAGGCGCCGGCTGGGGGCCGCTTCCCCCAGCACTCACAGTTTAGCGCCCCAAAACCTGCTTTTCTCCCTTAAATAGGGGAAAAAAAAATCCCCCCCAGCAGCATCCCTGTCCCTGGGTCCCCATTGTTGGGGTCACCAACCTCGGTGTCCCCATCTTTGGAGTTCCCTCCTTGGGGGCCAATCCTTGGGGGTCCCCATCTTTGGGAACCCATCCTTGGGGTCCCCATCCTTCATGTCCCCGACTTTGGGGTCCCATCATTGGGATCCTATCTTTGGCATCCCATCCTTGGGGTCTCAATCTTGGGATCCCTGTCCTTGGTGTCCCCATCTTTGGGGTCTCCTCCTTGGGGTCCCCATCCCAGGACAGGGTGTCACTGCATGGGGCCGTAGGGCCAGTTGAGGGTGGCACCGGCAAGCAGCATGTCGCGGATGAGGGTCTCGATGGGGGTCTTGCCGACCAGGCGGCTGAAGAAGAGCTGCTGGATGCCAGGGGCGGAGACGCTGCGGAGGGCCGGCAGGCGCAGGAGCAGGCGCCCGAACCGGCTGGGCTGGCTGGGGTGCTGCCGCCGCACGTGCTCCTCCAGTGCGCACTGCGACTTCTCCTGCAAGCCGGCCACCTGCCCCGGGTCCGACAGCCCCACTGCGTCTGCCCCGGGGGCAAGGGGAAACTGAGGCACGGCCCCGCCCCAGCAGAGACCCTGCCCCTTTAGCTCCACCCATTACTTCCCAGCCCGTTCGTTCCCTTGACACCCAGACCTGCCCCATCAAGCCCGCCCCCTTAGGCTTACCCCATTGGAGCCCCACCCCATTAAGCCCCACCCTAAGACACACCCCATTAAACTCCACCCAAAGCCCCATCCCACTTAGCCACACCCAGCCATCCCCAGCCCATTAATTCCCTGCCCACTCATTGACACCCACCCCATTGAAGCGCCACCCCATTGGACACCCCCCACCCCAATAAGCCCCACCCACGACACCACCCCCTCAAGCCCCTCCCCCCCTTGCGGCCCCGCCCCTCCTCACCGGGGGAGAAGAGGGCCACGGCCTTGAGGCAGGCGTACTCAGCGGCGTCGACGCGCAGTGCCTTCAGCTTCTCCACCTGCTCCTGGAAGAGGCGGATGTGATCCATGAAAGCCACCACGCGGTCGGCAGCCATCGGAGCGGCGTGGAGCCCAGCGGCGGCCAACAACGGGGCAGCGTGCAATGGTAAAGCCGACTGCGCCGCGTTCAACACAAAGAGCTCGCTCCAACCCAACCGGAGCAAAGCGACTTGATCGGAAAGTTGCAAATCCGGGAAGAAAGGGATGCCCTTGGCCCATTCGATGGCGCTGAAGAGGAGGCGAGCGGCCAGCTCACAGATGCTCTCGATGCCGACCACACCGCTGGGTTGTAGGCACTGGGAGCCGTAGCGAGCTGGGGGGTACGGTTCGGCGCGGAGCAGCAAGGAGATGAAGCCACTTAAATAGCTGTGACCGCCATAGGGATCCCCGGGGACCACGGGATATTGGCCGGGACTGCTTGGGGCGTGCACCATGCGGCCTCGCTGCACGGCTGTGGAGGGGAGCAGGAGGTCAGCACCCCAACCCCCCCCCCCCCCGCACCATCACCCCTGTGTGTTGCCCCCCCCCCCCCGCCATTCCCCAGGGATTAAATACAGAGGCTGGGGTGCAGGGTGGCTGTTAGAGGGTCCCCAGGGGATGGTGTGCCCCCCACCCATGTTAGAGGGGGGATGTGCCACCCGGCATGGGGACAAATTTACCACTACCCCCCCCGGCGACCCCCCCAGCGCAACGCACTGGGGCTCCCCTGTCTGCCAGCTCCCACCCAGCTTTTCACAGGCACACTGGATTTGCACACCTCCCCCCCCCCCGCAAACATTTAAGGTCACCCCCTTCTTGCAAGGGGACGGTGCTAATGAGGGTCCCCAAGGAGATGCTGGGGGGAGGGGGCAGGAGCTCCCCTCTGGGTCCCACCCCTGGGGTTTTTTGCCTTAAAAAACTCCAAATTGGTGTTTGGTTGTTTTTTGTTTTTTTTCTCTTGGTGATGCTGTGCAGTGGGTGGGGGGTCCAGCCTTCTCCTCCCCAGCGCCTCCAGCTCACCGGCCCCCACCCCCAGCATCGCCGCCCCCCATGGCGAGGGCAGGCTCTGAGCCAGGCTTAGCCTAATGCAGCGTGACAGTCCCAAGTGTCAGCCAGCGGTCGGGATCGGGGGCCGTGGGAACGGGGGTCCCCAAGGAATGGGCGTCCTCCAGGATTGGGGGGTCCCCCAGGATTGGGGGTGCTGGGGGCCTCCTCCTGCTCTCACCCAGCCCTGGGGGTGCAGCGTGTGGCCCCGGCTCCCCCCAAACCCTCCCTCTGCTCAGCATCACCCCAACAGCATTTGCCAGGTGCGGCCCCCTCCTCGCCGCCCACACCACCTCTCTTTGCACCACGAACCTCCAAACCTCCTTTGCAACACTACAACCCCTCCCACTAACCCCCCCTTTGCATCACCCCAAACCCCCTTTTCATCACCATGTACCCCCAAACCCTCTTTGTTCCTCCGTGAACCCAAACCCACTTTGCATCACCACGACCCCCTCTTTGCATCACCATGACCCCCCCCAACCCCTTTTTTCCTCCTTTTTGGGCAAAACAATTCCTTCAACCCACTGGTGTGTCCTCAAAGGAAATGAGCTTTTTTTAGCCCAAAAAAAGACACAGGAGCAGCCATGGACGGCTTCCTCCCCCCAGCTCCATCCGCCCCCCGGCTCACCCCACCTCTGACCGGGCCGGATCCAGGAGCTAAACAAGCCAATAACCCCGAACACCCGCTCCCTTGGCCCCACCACAGGATCAGGCCTCACGTTCCCCGTGTCTCATCCTGGATGATTTTGGGGAAACCAAAATTTAATCCACCTTTCCCAGCTAAATCCTGCTCCCAGTGTTTGCACCCCCAGCATCCTTAGGGAATAAACTCAGCCCAAAGCAGTGCTTGGCTCCTGAGCTGCTGGTTTCAGTGCTGGCTTCGGTGCTGGATTCAGTGCTGGTTCCCGGCTGGGAATGCCGGGATAAGAAGCATCACAAGGAGCATAAGCCGGCGGGTTTGGGACACCCTAATTTGAGCTGGAGCATCCCTGCTCTGGCACGGCCAGCAATGCCATGATCAGACAGGGAAACTGAGGCATGGTGCAGCCAGACCCAGTAAATTAAATCCCCGGAGAGGCTGAATGCCCAGATGCTTTTCAACATTTCCCATGCCTGGAGGTGCCGCATCCCGCAATGGCTTCACGCACATCTCAGGACAGCTGGGAGCCCCCCAAAAATCAGACCCAAGGGGGGGTGCATGCGGGAAATGGGGAATCCTGCCTGCGGATTAACACCACGCCAGGGGATCCACTGCGACCGGGCCCATCGCACCAGATCCTGGCGTTAAGCAGCAGCAGCAGCAGCAGCTTGTGGCAATTCTGAATTAAAACAAAAATTTAAAAAAAACAAAACCAAAACTAAAACCCAACAACCACCCCAAAAAGCCCAAATCTGATCCCAAACGACCCTGCTAAGCAGGGGTTCTCCAGGGCAGGGAAATGGGAATTCGCCTGGATTTTTTTTTTTTTTAACCCAGGGAATTAATCCCCGGCTCTAGCTGCATGAAGTGGGCAGAGATTTGCTACGAGGGGGTCTCGCTGCGCCCAGGACCTCTGCAAAAATCCCCTCGCCAGCCTCCAGACATCCAACTGGCCTTTTTTGGGGGAAAGAAAAGGGAAAATTGAGGGTTAGGCTTGAGCTGATTTTGTCCCTGAGCCCGGTCCCACCTAATTCACATTTATTTGTGCAAGCTGTGGTACGCCGCTGCAGCCATGCCGGGACACTGGGGGGGTGCCTTTCCCACCTTCCACCACAATTTTCCACCTTATCTGAATTTTTGTGGTTTTGGGGTTTTTTTTTTATGCCAGAAAAGGTGATTTCTGAATTTTCAGGATTTTTTTCTCTGCTAGAAAAGGCAACTGCTGAATTTTTGTGATTTTTTTTTTTTTTAATGCTAAAAAAAGTGACTTTCCGGGTGGGAGCATCGCTGCCGTCACTGTTGCCGAAGGACAAGCTCATCAATGCTGACTCAAGGGGTTGCAGAATAAATCCCCCGTTTGGCTGAGCCCAGCCTGGGCCCTCGCTATAATTATTTAGAAATACTAAATTTATAAATAAGGACCTTGAATATAAATAAGAACCCCCCCAGGTCCTTATTCAAGCAGGGAGGATGCTGCATGGCAGAGATTTGGAACTGAGGTTTCGGCATCGTGGCAAAGCTGATGCCCCAACACCCCGTTTTGGGCTTAAACCCCCCCAAATCTGCTTTAAAGCTGCTGCTTTTGGGGGGGGGGGGGATAAAATCGACCCAAAAATGTGGTGATCGGCTGGTTGAAGGCACAGGCACATGGTGTATCGCTGGGAGCTTGAAATGTGATTTTAATCCCGGTCACGCTAAATATTCAGACTAATTAACTTCAGATTTACCAGACACTCATCCCAAAAAGCCAAATTCGCAATCTTTTGAAGAATATCTGTATTATTTCCCTCAAATCCCTGGGATTTTTAACAGCCACATCCCTGGGCTACATATAATGGAGAGGAAAAGTAAATTGTCCCCATCTCGGCATAGACCTGGACCTATAAACCGAGCCTAAGCTAAACCCAAAAGAAATTTAAAGTTGAAATGATGAGTTTCTATGATGATATAATTAAGCAGAATAAGAAACGGGTTCCCTCGGCAGCGCCTTTCCCATGGGAAAAGCCAAAAAAATAACGATGTGGGGATTTATCCCCTCACAGGCAAAGTCAGGGAGAGGGGGAGCCCCAAAATCTCTAACCGGAGGCGGGGGGGTGATGCTGAATTTGAGGTTGCAAAAAGGAGGCGCGAGCTGAAGCCCTGGAGGAGGACGGAGACAGGTGCGGGGGGGTTGGTGGCGTTGGGAGATGCTCAGTCACCGCCAAGGGAAGTTTTGCCGGGATTTGGGGATGCTCGCCCCAAAATGATGGGGCTGAGGGACAGAGGGAAGATGAAGAGCGAAAGCAAAATGAAAAAGAAGAGGGAGAGGAGTTTTCTCTTTCTCTTTTCCTCCTTTTTCTTTCTCTTTCCTTCTCTGCCAGCCCTTTCTCACCCTCTTTCACTTCCTTTCTTTTACTTTCTCTTTCTCCAGGCACTCCTTTCTCTTTCTCTCCCTTCCTTTTTTCTTTCTCTTTTTCCTTCTGGTTTCTCTTTTTTGCTCTCTCCCGTTCTCACCTTTCTCTTTCTCTTTTGTCTTTACCATTCAGGCTTGCTCGCTCCCCCCTCTTCCCTTCTCCTTCTCCACTTTTGCTTTTTTGTTCCTGCACTTTTTCCTCCTCTTTTTTCCTCCCTTTCCCCTTTTTCTTTTCTTTTTTTGCTCCCTCTTGCTCTTTTCCACTTTTCCTCTCCCTTTCTTTTCTGCCTTCACTCTCACTCTTCCTCACTCTCACTGTTCCCTTTTTAGCACCCGCTCCCTCTTTTGCATCCTCTGTCCTTTTCCAGCCTCTCACCTTCTTTTCCGTCCCCTCTCCTTTGGCACTCACTCTCCTTCACCGCCCTCTCTCCTTTTC